ACTCAGAATTCTAGTTCAAAAGTGGATTGTGGAGTTTACGATTTTGTCAGTGGTGTGCAGCAATTTGAAGTCATTGCAATCCCTTGATGGGAGTTCATTGAGTGTTGGTCTTCACCAGTTAAATCCACCATGGCCATTTTCCCATGCAGATTCACACTTTATTCGGGAGGTGTGAAAGAATAAAGATACAGTTGCTTTTGGAACGACGAGATTAAAGAGAACATTCTCATTCCATAATGACTGACAGCTTTTCTTCAAGCTTTGGTGTCTGTAACATTAGAAGCTTAAAACAGGATGGGCCTGTGCAAGTGGGTGCTGCGGTCAGGGCTTTGCGCTTCACTCTTCTCATCAAATTTTTTAAGAATGAGTTCTTGATGAAGGAAGAGGAAGCTTCTGGGAAAGAAATACTGTTAAGATCTTAACTTGACGACTTCTGTAAAAGAAATACCGGAGCTTCTAAAATAAATGCCGGTAGATAGGGGTAGTATATGATGCTGAAATTGGACCATTTGGAAATATTGAGTTTGGCAGCGCTATTCATCAACTTTTCAGTTTTTTTCCCTCTGAAAGTAGGGTCTTCTTTCTAGAGTCCAACATGATGGTTTGAGGATCTTCATCTACCACTCAATGGTGCTCTTGTTTTGACACGTATTCGCACTGCTCAAAAAACTAGACTGGCTGCCTCAAGTTCTGTTTTTTCCTTAGTTTTCACACTGTCTTTATTTTTGGCAAAATAAAAAGACAGAAACCATGTATTAATGTAATGACATCATGATCAGGTGATTTGGAAGTCTGATGGAAGGTGGTTAGAGGGATTGGTGATTTTAATTGCTAAGCCACAGAGCAAGAGCTGCAAATGGATGATTCTCAGAGCATGCTGTGCGAACATTAGGAGTAGTAACTATCCACATGTCAGGATCAGCGGCCTACTCTTTTCAGATTGTGGCAGTTAATTGTGAAGCTTGAGGGCTGGGAACTCATGCTAGGCCCAAGATGTTATAAAGACTCTTGAGGGGCTTTGGTTATGGTGGTTCTTTCTGCCTTGTTCTCTCAGAATGATTCTGCAAGATATGGGACCTGGTGGTGAACTCTTAGACAGTAGGACCCTGTTACTGTATTAGTTTTTTTTAACCGCAAATGAGGTGCTATTGATCCTCCTGTAATGGATCATGTCTCTTCATATATGATGTTGGGTCTTCTGTTCTGTTAATGAGATATGTGCATTTACATCTCTCTTTCTCTTGTCAAGTTTGCCACTATGGGATTCATAACGAACTATTTCAGCCCTACCAGTCCAGCTCTGCAGAAATGAGAACTTATCAAATACAGAATAAGGACAAGTATAATGAGCTTGGTGGGTTGTGCCTTAGCTTGAGAGTTAAGTGCAATACTTTGACGCGCAGGCATATATACTTTGGCACATGGGATGTTCATTTAGTTTTAAGTCTGCATTGTTATCTCCCGAGGACGTACAGTAAAAAAATTAAATGTCTATCCGAAGGCACCTTTAAGTCTGGATTCTCCTCCAATCCTCTGTAAATTATCTGCTCTCGTTAACTGGCCTCTTTCATTAAGTCACTGTTTTACTGTGCTTCAAATTCATAAACTCACGATAACAAATTAAGGCAGTTTCTTCAGCGGAGGCCTTTTTTCCTTCCCATCATTGAAAATGAAAGTTTTGTGCCTGCATAATTTGAAGGTTCCTGTGTCATTGAATAAAGTTCTTGGTACTGGTGCAAAGGATGGCAATGGCTTGATTCACTATTTAAAAGAACCAAATGGCTCTTTTAAATCTTATGAAAGCAGTTCTTAATCAGCTGATGTTGGACCGAGTGTTAGAATAATCTGTCAATTGAAGCAGGAATTTTTAGCTCTCTTTAATGACCTGGGGAGTTGGACTGGCTAATGCATATTCAATTCACAAGAGGATGAGCCAATTTTACCGAGTCATTTCGCTCTATCCTCATATATTTGTCCTGTTGTATTTGTGATAATGAGATTGCTGAAAATGTGTAATAGATGTACCTAGTCATATATATCCAAGCTATTACGTATCGATCTGCACTGAAACAGGAGTTTGTTGAAAATTTCAATCAGAAATAGACCGTATCTGAGCCCATTATAAACCCGATATGCAAACGAATCGGGATACATCTCATGTTACAAACCAGAATAAATGATATGAATCACACGCATGGAGTCATTAAATGGAAAATAAGACAAGAAGGAATCACAATTGAATTAAAAACAAATAAAAGAGTTAAAAATTATCAATGTGCTTTCACTTCGTTCTGTTCTTTTAGGAAGACCGAAAGCATCTGCATTTTTGTCGAACGCATTTGCTTTCAGTTGAACATGACAACTATTTTCTCTTTTCATGCAAAGGGACAACCAAAACCCGGAGGCATTAGAAACACATGCCGTGGACAAATTGCTAGCTAGTTGCATGTATCCTTGGTTGCCACCACAGCTTCTGTTCTTTTCATTCCATGCAAGAATATACCGATCACCCATGAAAGACAAAGATAAAACTGCAAAGGCCAAGTGCCAAAGTCCCTCAGAATCACGTCAGAACGAAACAATGACGGTAGATTCTCGGCTTAATTAGCCAATAATATACTGACCGCCCACAAAGGACATACAACTACAAAGCTCAAGTGCCAAAGTCCCTCAAAATCACTTTATAACAAAACAATTACGGTTGAATCTCGGCTTAATTAGCAAATACAAGGTGTGTTAAAGAACTAAAGCATAGGCATGGTGGAATCTGTCTCTTGTTCCATGTCAACAATGGCAAAGCCAAAACATGTCCTGGTCATGGCATTTCCTGCCCAAGGGTCATGTCATTCCTCTCCTGAAAAACTCTCAAACTGTATTGCTGATCATGGTATTAAGGTTACATTTGTGAACACTAAGTCCATTCACGCGCAAGTTATGGCTGCATACCCCGAATTGGATGAGGCACCAAATCAAATTAAGTTTGTTGTGCTTCTCGATGGGCTCAAGAGACTGACGAGGAGCGAAAGGACTCTGCCTAAGCTGCTAGAGAGCATATCAAGAGTGATGCTGGGTCATTTGCAGGAGAAAGTGAAGCAGCAATGCAATGGCAATGAAGATGAGCAGATAAGCTTCGTGATTGCAGACCTGACTGCCAGATGGGCACTGGAAGTCGCCGAAAGGATGGGGACCGAGTGAGCTGGGTTTTGGCCTGCCTCAGTTTCGACTTTGGCCTTGACACTTCAAACTCCTAAGATGATTGAGGGTGGAGTGATAGACAACAATGACAAGGGACCTAAACTAGAACCCTTCACAATCATTCTCACAGCCTAAATATGCTGTCTTGTTATCCCTCAAATGGCTCTATCGACATACACATTAAAGAGAGATAAGTCTACAAAATCTATACTAACCTATGTGAGTGTCGGAATAGGTAGTCTTAAGATACTCTACTCTCGTATAAGAGCAATGACCTCATCTGGAGTTGCCCTGAAGACCTGATGATGCAGAAATTGTTATTAGGATGCGCATTGTCCAACCTCCGTCACAGCAAACACTTAAACTCACACCTTTGCAACATGCCCTCAAGGCATCGGTTTGCATTGCCATTCCCGGAGCTCTCCCGGTTAGTTTGTTAATAGCGAGCACCCGATTATACCTTCACAGAATAAGCCTGTGGAACAAGGAGTCGACATGCTCGAGATGGCTAAACCAGCATCTGGCGCAGTCAGTCAATTATGTTGCCTTCGGAAGCACAACGATGTTCAGCCCAGAACAATTCTAGGAACTTGTTCACAGCCTCAACGGATTGGTCAACCACTCCTGTGGGTCATACGCCCTGACCTCACTGACAGGTCAGTCACCGCGGGTTCCTACACACCCTTCAGTGGCGTGCTTCTTCACCCACTTTGGGTGGAATTCCACACCGGAATGCCTGAGCAATGGAATCCCGCTTCTGTGCAGGCCTTACTTTGCAGATCAGTACCTGAACAGGAGCTTGATATGTGATGTGTGGAGGGTTAGTTTAGGAGAGGATGATGATGAAAATGCAGCCATAACTTAGGTACGAAGTGAGGACACATGCTAGCACTTTTTGGCAGTGATGAGATAAAGGGCAAATTGTGGTGAAGGAGATGGTCAAGAAGAGTGTGAGTGAAGGAGGGTCCTCCTTGAAGAATCTGCAGAGCTTCATTGGACTCGTGCTTGAGGATTTTTGTTTCCGTTCATGTGCTTAAAATTGGAATCTGAATTTATTTATCTTGTAATGCGCCGCATAATTGGTGCATAAAGTGAAGCTCATATAAGAAGATTTGGGTCTACACTAAGTCATACTTACCTTTAATTATTATTAAACCTTAGTTTTTTATGATCAGCCACCTTAAATTCTTTCAACAGTATATTTTCGACACTATAGAATTACAATAGGAGTTCTACAATGCACGAGTTTCAAATAAATAGTTGCATATGCAAAGATGGGATTGTTATAATTTATTTAATATAAGACTATTGTTTATTACAAAATATTGTGGCAGGTTGCTGATGCTCGAATACTTTAGTGTGGCGAGTTTGGGATATTGTATCAATACCTGTGACGGATTTGGGATAGGTTCTGGGAAAAACCTACAATTAGGGGAATTCGTTCCTAACCTGTCCTGCTTCCATCATTATTAATATTGAGATTGCGGCAAAGACATGACAAGCACACTTAATCTGAAAGTTTATAATGAGACTATATGTTTCTTATGCCATTATATACTTCACATGTCCAAAAAAGGGGATACTCTCTCACGTCACAAATATGAATGCAATTATGTGAATTACATACATGGAGTTAATAAATGGGAAATATGACAAGCAAAATACCAAGCAAAGAAATAACATAAGAGTAAAGAATCAATGCGCTTGTATGTAATTTTTCATTTAGCACTTAAATTTTGCTTCATGAACTCAAGGTATCTGGATTTTTTTGACTGGCAGGCTTTGATTCGAATAATGATAAGAAACGCAGACATGAGAACACAAGCCACAGACAAATTGTTAGCCAGTTGCATTTCATCTTTGTTGCCGCCACAGCTTATGTTCTTTTCGTTCCATGCCAGGATATTCGGACAGCCTGCAAAAGACGTCGATAAAACTACAAAGCCAGGTGCCGAAGTCCCTCTGAATCAGGTCATAACAAAACAATAAGGATAAAGTCTGAGCTTAATTAGCCAATATAAGGTGTGCTAAGGAACTGTCCCTTGTTCTATGTTAACAATGGCAAAGTTAAAACATGTCCTGGTCATACCATTTCCAGCACAAGGTCATGTCACTCCTCTCCTGAAACTCTCACACTGTATTGCTGATTATGGAGTCAAGGTGACATTTGTGAACACAAAGTCCATTCACTCACGAGTGGTGGCTGCAAACCCCGGATTGGACGAGGGATCGAATCGGATTAAGTTTGTTGCAATTCCGGATGGGCTCGAATCTGACGAGGAGCGAAAGGACCCAATTAAGCTGATGGAGAGCGTGTCAAGGGTGATGCCGGGTCACTTGCAGGAGTTGATTGAGAAAGTGAAGAAGCAGTCAAATGACAATAAAGATGATCAGATCAGCTTCATAATTGCGGACCTAATCGCTGGATGGGCACTGGAAGTCGCCGAAAGGATGGGAATCGAGCGAGCCGGGTTTTGGCCTGCCTCGGTTTCGTCTCTGGCCTTGGATCTTCATATTTCAAAGTTCATCGAGGGTGGAGTCATAGACAACAATGGTAAGGGACCAGATCTAGAAACCTTAAAGTCTCATGAAGCCTAAATATGTCGTGTAGCCATCTCTCAATTGCTTTATTGACACACACTAAGGAGAGAGGAATCTACAACATTATTCACGCCAATAACCTATGTGCTTGTAGGAATAGATAGTCTTATGATAATCTAACTTGGCATCGGTAACTTATGCAGGTGTTGCTCTGAAGAATGATCTCATCATGATATTGGAGGACCTTCCTTCCTATAAGAGCACTGACCTCCCTTGGAGTTGCTCAGAAGATCCAATGACGCAGAAAGTATTTTTTAGATGCGCATTGTCCATCCTCCATCACAGCAAACGCACAAACTCATTCCTTTGCAATTCATTCCATGAACTAGAGGCATCGGCCCTCGGTGTCATTCCCGGAGCTCTCCCAATCGGTCCTTTAATAGCGAGCACGCAATTATTCCATCGCAGAGGAAGCCTGTGGAACGAGGACTCGACCTGCTTGAACTGGTTAGACCAACATCCAGCCCAGTCAGTCATCTATGTTGCCTTTGGAAGCTTGACAGTATTCAGCACAGAACAATTCTATGAGCTCGCCCACGGCCTCGAACAGATTTCTCGACCATTCCTATGGGTCGTACGCCCGGACCTCACTGATGGGCCAGTCACTGAGTTCCATGAGGGGTTCCTCCAAAGGGTGAGGAATTATGGGAAGGTGGTCCAATGGGCACCACAAGAGGAGGTCCTAGCACATCCTTCAGTGGCATGCTTCTTCACTCACTGTGGTTGGAATTCCACACTGGAAGGCCTGAGCAATGGGGTCCCACTTCTCTGCAGGCCTTACTTTGCAGATCAGTACCTGAACAAGAGCTTAATATGTGATGCGTGGAAGGTGGGTTTAGGGGTTGTTTCTGATGAAAATGGACTAACAGCTAGGCATGAAGTGAGACAAAAAATATTAGCAGTTCTTGGGAGTGATGAGATCAGGGCAAATTGCCTGAGGTTGAAGGAGATGGCCAGGAAGAGTATTAGTGAAGGGGGGTCCTCCCTGAAGAATCTGCAGAGCTTCATCGAACTCATGAAGGCTTGAGGGTTCTTGTTGTTGTCCAGTTCAGTGCCTAAGATTGAACTCTGTTTCTCTTCGATGTCCTATGGTGGTTTCTATCTGCTGGTTTAGTTAAGTACCAGTTTGTTCTGGTAGAAAGTTCTGGGTTTTGTCAAAATGGTGACGACAATAGAACTTGTTATTTATGGGTATGTTAAGGTTTACAAAACTTCAAATCACAATTTGCAATGACGAAGATGATCGGCAGGTAATCAATTAATGCCATAAAAGGAATCAATTAATGCTTTACCTTTAAAAACTGAATTCAAAAAAGTTATATATTATTTAATGTATTACCCACTTACGACAATTTAAATAATACCAAAAAGGATTAGAATTATTACATTTTAACAAACATATACAGTTTTCCAAGAAAAAGTACTAAAAAAGTTATGAACTTGTTGTATTGGTGTAAATTCAATCACGAACATTTCAATTGAATCAATTTAGTTCTAAACCTTTTCACATTTTGCCAATCGAGTCCATCCGGTCAAATTAGACCAGAAATCGCTGATATGAATATCGGCGGTTTTACGTGGCATAGCCAAAACTCACGTCGATATTTTTAATTATTTTTTTCTTTTTTTTCCTTTATTTTACTTTCCCTTCTGTTTCTACTAGTGGCCGGCCGGTGAGGGCTCCCCTCGCCCAAGCGAGGCCGACGAGGGATTGGCCACCAGAAAAAAGAAAAGGGAAAGAAAAAAAAGAAAGGAAAAAAGATATATTAAAACATTATATAAAAATTCCACCTCAGTGCCAGCTGTACCACGTGGGATGGCTGACATTCATGTTAGTAATTTCCAGTCTAAATTGGTTAGATGGACTCAATTGACAAAACGTAAAAAAAAGTTTAGGACTAAATTGGTCAAATTGAAATGTTTATGACTGAATTGGCACAAATGCAATAGGTTTAAGACTTTTAATGTACTTTTTCCCAGATTTCCGTATGCAATAAATTGACATCTGAAAATTTAAAAAGTGAAGATGTTATTTGCATGCAATAAACATAACCTAACCGTTTTGTTACGATTCTGGTCATGTTTCATTGTATTGTAGCTTTTTCTAATTTTATCTTAGTACTAAGGTTCTAGTTATTAAAAGTAAATTGATTTACATGCATTTATATGATAAGAAAAATTATCTTATTACGTTCGAATCATTAAATCATCGAAAGAAATAGTTGGTAAAATATCCAATACGAAGAATGTGATCAATGACATTTCAAAAAGAAAAAAAAAATGGTTGACGAAAGTCAGAACTGGTGCTTGAGGAATTTTGCTTCTGTTCAGGTGCTTAAGATTGGACTCTGATCTTATTTATCTTGTAATGCATCACATAATTGGTGCTTATAGTGAAACTCATACTAAAAAGATTTGAGTCTACCCTAAATCAAACTCAGCACACATATTACTTTAACAAATTACTCGGTTTTTTTATCATCAATTTCCAGCTTCTAAGTACTCACTGTAAAGACACCTTGAACAGGCAAAATGTTCGTTAAAAACGTTTGAGTGAGTGATGTTTGATTTTGGGACTTGCAATGTTTTTCTTTTAGCACTTCCTGTGTTTCCATCCCCAACCCAAATTGCCTCTTCAATGCTCAAGCTAATTGTGGAAGTGGGAAAATGAGAATTCGAGGCCGAGATTTATCCTTGAAGAAACTCCTCTTTGGAGTTTGTTCATTCATACTAGACAACATTGTTGGAGGCCTCATTTCTTAATATAAACAAGTCTTGCATAAGCAAGGAAGTTTCACAAAAGACAAAGGGTGCGTTTGGTTTGGCTTTTGGACAAAGCCTCTGGGAAAATGCAAATGCCTTTAGTCGAAATGGGTTTGGTGAAATGCAAAAGCTGTTTGGTAAATTGCAACTGAAAAGTGCCTTGGAAGGAAACTTTAGGGAAATGTTATTTGGTAAACATATATTTAAAAAGTCATTTGATGTGATTAATTTATTTTTTTTAATTTTAATTTGTTTAAAATTAATTAAAATAATAATGACTGTAATTTTTATATTTTCGCGTTGAGAATAATATAAAAGAGACATATTAACAAATTTATAAATAAAAAAAATCACATCAAAGTGGATCTTTCTCAATTAAAGACTAATTTTGTTTGAGTCTATCACATCCATATTTATAAGTAACTAAACTTCAAAGCGACATCTAGCGGTTTCTACCAAATTAATGGTTAATTTGGCTCCGACAATATAATTTCGACGAACTGTTCTTTCTTTCTCAAAAGCCCAACATTGACCATCTTGGGAGGTATGCTATGTAGCTCCAAGGAGCACATTGCGAATTACACTTCTAAGGAAAAACTAAAATGCATTAAGCGCAGTTTATTTAGGCCGCTCAAGTTAAAAATTCACGATGATTGGTAACATCTGGTTAAAAAATGGGCAGTGGGCTTGGGGAAGCAGAAGGGGTTTGGTGTCAATTGCTAAAATCCCGGATTTGGAATGGATTTTTTTTTGGGGAATAATGACACAAACAGTCCCTGAACTTTAGTCTAATGTGTAATGAGGTCCATAAATTTCTAATTTGTTCAATGTGGTCATTAAACTTTAACTCATTGTGGAATGTGATCTCTGAACTTTTGATACATGTTCAATTTTATCTCTGAACTATACGAAAATGTTCAAATTAAAAGTTCAGGGATCACATTACATATTGAACCAAAGTTCAGGGACTCTTTGTGTCATTTTTCCTTTTTTTTTAATTTTATAATTGGGAAACTCAATATGTATGACTATTAAAATGCCATTGGTTTCTTTCATATTTCGCAAGTAGTTGAGTAAGTATACATAATTATTAACTCTATTTGGATTTATTACAGATTTTGAGGGTTTTTTAAGTTACTTCTATTCTGTTAAATCTCTCAAGATTACTTGATTGTAAAAATTAGAGAATGCTAATAACAAGATACAGTATAATATAAGATTTTCTTATAAAGATGCCCACATTTTACACCTAGCTTCTAATTATTATTAGACCTTGGATTTTTGTGATCGTCAACCTTTAATTCTTCCACAATTAAATTTTGGACTCCGTAGAATTCTGATTGGAGATTTTCCATACACGAATTTTGAATAAATTGTTGTATTTGTAAACACGAGGTTTTCTGTTATATATTTAACATAAGACTATTGTTTATTATAATATACTGTTGCGGCATACAAGTACCCGACTACTTTAGAGAGACGAGTTTGGGATATAGTACCAACATCCGGAACGGATTTGAGATGGGCTTAGGGAATAACAGAAAGTTAATAGGACGGTTTTGGAACGAGGTTCCATCCTTAATGATTCATAGATTGCCACAAAGATGTGACAAACGTAACCATTCTATTATATATAGTTAAAAGATGTCAATACGCGATAGGATCAACTGACTAGGTTGAAAAGTTTAATCCGAAAATTTAAATAGCCCGAATGAGACCGTATATTTTCCAGGCCATTATATGCTTCGCACGTCACCATGTTTGATACTCCCCAACGTTTATGTGAATGACACACATGGAATTAATAAATTGGAAATTAGACAAGCAAGAAACCAATTAAGGACAAAAGAAACACGTAAGACTTAATAAAGAATCAAATGCCTGTATGTAATTTTTCATTTAACACTTAATTTATGTTTCATGAACTCAAGGCATCAGCATTTTTGTCCAGCACATTTGCTTTTATTCAAATATGGCAACTTCTTTCCTCTTCTCATGACAAGGACAACCTAAAACTAGAAAGTCTGCACTTGCTCATAAGCAACGGAGACATGAGAACACAAGCCATCGACAAATTCGCAAGCCAGTTGCATGTTATCTTTGTTGTCGCCACCGCTGCCGTTCTTTTCATTCCTAGCCAATATACTCCGACTGCCTGCAAAAGATGAAGATAAAACTACAAAAGCCAAGTGCTAATGTCCCTTTGAATCACGTCGTAACGATACAACAGGGATAGAATCCGAGCTTAATTAGCCAATATAAGGTGTGCTAAGGAACTGTCCCATGTTCAATGTTAACAATGGCAAACTTAAGACATGTCCTTGTTATACCATTTCCAGCACAAGGTCATGTCACTCCTCTCTTGAAACTCTCATGCTGTATTGCTGATTATGGAGCCAAGGTTACATTTGTGAACACAGAGTCCATTCACGCACAAGTGATGGCTGCAAACCCTGGATTGGACGAGGGATCTAATCGGATTAAGTTTGTCACCATTCCTGATGGGCTCGAAACTGATGAGGAGCGAAAGGACCCAACTAAGATGTTGACGAGCATATTAAGGGTGATGCCCGGACATTTGCAGGAGTTGATTGAAAAAGTGAAGAAGCAGTCAAATGGCAATGAAGATGAGCCGATCAGCTTCATGATTGCAGACCTGACCGCCGGATGGGCGCTGGAAGTTGCTGAAAGGATGGGAATCAAGCGAGCCGGGTTTTGGCCCGCCTCGGTGTCAACTCTGGCCTTGACACTTCATATTCCGCAGTTGATCGAGGGTGGAGTCATAGACAACAATGGTAAGTGACCAGAACTAGAACCCTTCACAATCGTTCTCATGAAGCCTAGATATGTAGTGTAGCAATCTCTCAATTGCTTTATTGACACACACCAAGGAGAGATGAATCTACAACATGTATCATGCCGGTAACATATGCGTTTGTAGGAATAGGTCAATCTAAATATGATCTAACTTAGCATTGATAACTCATACAGGCATTGCTCTGAAGAACGATATCATCACGATATGGAAGGACCTTCCTCCATATAAGAGCAATGACTTCACTTGGAAATGCCCTGAAGACCCGATGACGCAGAAAGTATTTTTCCAATGCGTGTCGTCCATCCCCCTTTACAGGAAACGCTCAAACTCAGTTCTTTGCAATTCGTTCCATGAACTCGAGGCATCGGCTATCAGTGTCATTCCAGGAGCTCTCCCAATAGGTCCATTAATAGCGAGTGCCCGATTATTCCATCTCAGAGGAAGCCTGTGGAACGAGGACTCAACCTGCTTGAAATGGTTAGACCAACATCCAGCCCAGTCAGTCATCTATGTCGCCTTCGGAAGCACGTCAGTATTCAGCCCGGAACAATTCTATGAGCTCGCCCACGGCCTTGAACAGATCGCCCGACCATTCCTGTGGGTCGTGCGCCCGGACCTCACCGACAGGCCAGTCACTGAGTTTCTCGATGGGTTCCTCCAAAGGGTGAGGAATTATGGGAAGGTGGTCCAATGGGCACCGCAAGAGGAGGTCCTAGCACACCATTCAGTAGCATGCTTCTTCACTCACTGTGGTTGGAATTCCACGCTGGAAGGCCTGAGCAATGGAGTTCCACTTCTCTGCCGGCCCTATTTTGGAGACCAGTTTCTGAACAGGAGCTTCGTTTGTGATGTATGGAGGGTAGGTCTAGGGGTGGATGGTGATGAAAATGGTGTCGCAACAAGGCATGAAGTGAGAACAAAGATGCTAGCGGTTCTTGGCAGTGAAGAAATAAGGGCAAATTGCCTGAGGGTGAAGGAGATGGCCAGGAAGAGTGTTAGCGAAGGAGGGTCCTCCCTGATGAATCTGCAGAGCTTCATTAAACATACGATAGCTTGAGGCTTCTTCTTGTTGTTCCTGTTCAGTCCCTAAGATTGTACTCTGATTTACTCTTTTACAAATTAATCTTGTTTCAAAAAAACAAGCCATCGAATAATGAAATAAGTAGAATAAGGAATTAAATCGAACATCAAATATACATGATTTAATCTATGTGACCTAACGGAAAGAGCATCACAACTCATAGTGTGTTTAGCCTTCATAATTACTTCCGAAATAATCTTTCAAACTCATTAAGGAATTCATAAATCTTACCACAAGATTTATTGATTTCAAAACATCGTGATGTAACTGCACAATTGATTGTTATGACCAAAATGCTCCTTTGCTAGATAATAGGCAAAAACCAACAAAATTCAAAAAAAAAAATTTCAATAATTTCTTACTCGTTAGGTCATGCAATAAAAAGTCCTATCTAGATTTGGAATTTCCGCTTGGATTAGGTTTCTTTCACGCTTCGCACTTGAGACATAATTTCATTGGTACTCATGATGATATATTGAGGCAATAAGATAATTACACAGTCCCTAAATATTGGCCCAATGTGCAATGTAGTCCTTGAATTTTTAATTTATTCCATGTACTCTCTGAACTTTAACCTGATGTTCAATATGATCCTTGAACTTTTAATTTTCAATGTAGTCCCTAGACTTATGATACATGTTCAATATAGTCCTTGAATTATATAAAAATGTTCATTATAGTCCCTAAACTTGAATTAATGGAAGGACTACATTGAACTTTTTCATATAGTTCAATGACTAAATTGATCATGTACCAAGAGTTCAGGGACGACATTAAACAAAATAAAAGTTCAGGGACCACATTGAATAGTAAGTTAAAGTTCGAGGATCACATTGAATAAATTAAAAGTTCAGGGATCACATTACACATTGGACCAAAGTTCGGGAATCATTTGTATCATTTTTTCTAAGGCAATTTCAGTGGATATATTCACCGAAACTGAAAATTTTGAAGCGTGCCTAATTACCCGGTTCCTAGTTGAAGTACCGGGTTGTTCTCGTTTAAAGTTCTCGATTTTGTCAAAATGGATGACAACAATATAATTTGTTATCCAGAATAAACAAAACGGGTATGTTATGGCTTATTAAAGCAGTTTTTAATCAGTTGATTCCGGTTGGGAAAGTGGAAGAAATTCTGCCACTAGATGTCCTTTGGAATTCGGCCTGCACAAATCTTATGTGCATCTCTTTCTAAGGAAATTTTACACTGTTTTCATCCCACCGCTCGACTTATATATATCCTGACATCAACCTATATAGATTGTTATTCATGGTGTGTGCTGGTAACCTAGCACATATGCTCATTCGCGTCGAGAAGTTTGTGAATTTTCCTTGGTAAAATTATATGAAAGCTTTATCAAACTAGTGACCAAGTAAAATCTAGCCTGACAGTGATGAAGTGAACTAGCATCTTATTTGGCACTAGCAGGGAAAGCAGTCTGAGTAATGGAAATGTCGCACAGCGGTAATAAGATAGTCATGGGTGGTGTGGTGTCGCCGCCGCTAATGATATCCCACCAGTCTCGACCCAACAAGTAATGTTGCATGCGAGTATTCCAATGATTATAATTAAGCTATTGAGCTTCTCGATCCTGTTCACCGAACCTGAGAAATCCGTCATTGTGACTTGGTTATAATGCTCGGCACTACATCAAGTAAATTTGATCCCAAACCGATCGATCATAGTCCCTGACTGTGCACTGGCAGAATTTCAGTGTACCCCGCTTCCTGTGTTCACGTATAATAGTCTCTAAAGACTGTCTTTGCGTACCACACTCCGAATCACCGGGTTCATGGTCCCCGATTGCCTGCTCTGATACGTTCTTCGGTCCTTGGGCTCTGAGCTCTGATACAATTTGTTGAACTTCAGAGACACCGTTTTGATACTGCTCGTAATTGCCCAAGTGAAATAAACACTCCTTTATTAACTATATTACAAAAGTAAACTTTCCACCCCTACGCCACAATATTGCGACTCTTCACACCACTCGCACATTAACACTCCCTGACACTCACTAAACTCACGCGTCATTCTCTCCTCAAACCACCCACTCACGCCACACACTATAACACTCTGTGCTTGACACAAATGGGAGAGGGGCTGGTCTATTTATACTAGTGCTGAGGAGGAGTGAGCACGGATTCAGAGCAGAACCGGAAATCGAAGAATTGAACTGGTAGGTCCAATTCGGTTTTCAATTCTAAGGTGGGAGGTTCCAATACCCGGTTCTAGTTTTTTAGGGTGCGAATGGTAACCATTCTGCTCCAGAAATAAAATTCTTACCAGAAATTGATTTCTGGAATTTTTGCAAGAAATTGATTTCTGGAGGAGAAATCTGTTTGGTAAAACATGACTAATTCTGCTCCAAAAATTGATTTCTGGAACAGAAATCTGTTTTGATTTGTTGATTTTTTTTGCACCTAAAAAAATTAAATTTTACTCAAAGTGGGTGGCCACATGTATTATAAGCCATTCTGTAAAGTTTTGAAATTTTTGATTTTTTTTAATTTTTTTTGGGCACCTAAAAAAATTTAAATTTCACTCAAAGTGGGTGGCCACAGGTATTCTAAGCCATTTTGTGAAGTTTTGAATTTTTTTATTTTTTTTATTTTTTTGGGCACCTCAAAAAATTTAAATTTTACTCAAAGTGGGTGGCTACAGATATTCTAAGCCATTCTATGAAGTTTTGAAATTTTTTATTTTTTTATTTTTTTGGGCACCTCAAAAAATTTAAATTTCACTCAAAGTGGGTGGCCATAGGTATTTTAAGTCATTTTATGAAGTTTTGAAATTTTTTTTTTGGGCACCTCAAAAAATTTAAATTTCACTCAAAGTAGGTGGTCACAGATATTTTAAGCCATTTTGTGAAGTTTTGAAATTTTTGATTTTTTTTGGGCACCTCAAAAAATTTAAATTTCACTCAAAGTGGGTGGCCACATGTGTTTTAAGCTATTCTGTGAAGTTTTGAAATTTTTTATTTTTTTGTTATTTAAAAAAAAAATTCACCAAATTTCATATTTTCCCGAAATCTAACTTTTTTTTATTTTCTGGAAATTTTTATGAATTTTTCTAGAATTTTTCAATTTTTATGCATTTTCTGAAAAAAAAAATTTGTAAGAAAATAGGGAGAATGCATTCCGGAATCAAGAAGCTACAAAAAGTAGCTTCTCTTTTTCTTGCCAAAAACTCATTCCGGAATAAAAAATGCATTCTGGAATCAAGAATGCATTCTAGAATCAAGTATTTTTAACAAACGCATTTTTATTCTAGAATGCAAAAATCGCTCCAGAATGCATTCCGGAAATTTTTTAACAAACGTCATTCTGTTCCGGAATGCATTCCGGAACAGAATTTTTATTCCGGAATGCATTCCATGCGCACCCTTAGGAACCGCCGGAATCGGAACCGGAAAACAAAGTAAAAACTAAAAGCCCTAACTTTGTTTTTCTTCCTAAATTTCCCCTCGCTCCTCCATTGCGCTCTCTCTCCCACGCCCACGACTTGACGAGACCTTCTCGCCTCTCCTCGCTCCGTTCGGCGTCTGCCTCGGCTCTTCCTCTGTCTTCATCAACCGCGGTCCGGCTCGTCCGCGACGGAGGTGGGCTTTGCTTCAAGGCTTCAAGCGACATCCTCTGTCTTCGTCTTTGTTCGGGCTCACGCTCTGCCGCACGCGCACCCTCTTGAGCTCGCTGCCTCGGCTCTTCCTCCTTTCATCTCTCCGCAAGATCGGCGCCGCTTCTCGCCGGACGTGGTTCCTCCAGTCCTCGCACTGTAGAAGAGATCTCCAAGGACTACAGCGCCTGGCGCACTGCCCTCGTCCGCGCCCTCACCTACAGTACCAATCGTTGCGCCTTCGCCCCCCTCTTTGGATCTGCACATGCATGCGTTTTTTCTCTTTTTTTCTTGGGACTGAGTTCGAATGCATGTGCCGTCGGTGTTTCTTTTTAGTTCTTTGTTTATGGCTTGACGCCATTGTTGGTGTTGGTGAATTTGTTTTAGATGTGGATGAATTCTACTCGCTCTGCGATCCATGTGTGGCGATCCAGGTGAGGCTTGATGTATTATGGGTTTCTTGTTCTTGTTCGTTGTTGTTTTTCCTTCGAATTAAAGGGCAAATGCAAGATTGTTGCTTTACGCTTTTTAGAGAAAAAAGGTTTTGACTTTAGCTTGTGCTGCAATTTTGGAGAAGCAAGATGAGATATGTGGGAGATGGGTAACTGCTGTTAGGTGATTTTTCTATGAAACTGTGATCGATTTGATTGGGGAAGTGGCTGTGGTGGGTTGATAAGAATGGGGGTAAGTGTGCTTTAGGTTATTGTTGGTTCTTTTCATTCATGATCTGAAAGGAAATTCTTTATTTTTTTGCTTTGATATCTTAATGGGTATTTCAGTTGTGATTATGGACTCCAAATGTTAAGCTCCTTTTTCTTTTCTTTTTTTTGGGGGGGGGGGGGAATTTAATGTTTTCTCTGTTTGATACGAGTGATTAAACTGTTGTATCTGTGGATGGATATTTTGCATTTCAAGAAAAGGAGAATTTGTGTCTGTATGGTCACCCAAACGAATCACGGGAGGTGGCTCTGCTCGCCGAGGAAGTTCCTCCAGAGCTTCCTGAACCAGCCTTGGGCATTAACTTCGCTAGAGATGGAATGAAAGGCAAGGACTGGCTGTCTTTGGTGGCTGTGCATAGTGACTGTTGGTTGCTCTCTGTGGCCTTCTACTTTGGTGCTCGACTTAACCGCAATGAAAGGTACTTTCTTTTTGCCTGCACTTGTTGAAGATTGTCATTGCATATGCGGCATACTCAAAGGATCTGTTGAGGTCAGTGTTGTGATTCTGGGTGCCCTACGTCCCAACTCAACAATTAAGAGATACCAACATAAATTTAATGGTGCTAGCTTATTCTAGTAAAAAAGCCATTTTGCAATCTTTCGCCCAAGTTTGGATTTTGAATTAGGTATAGCAACTTGAAGTGTTTTACACTATCAGATTGTTATAGTCGAAGTTGCACTGTTGTTCATAGTTTGAGCAAACACCATTGAAAATAATTGGGTGAATTAGGTTCGTCAGTGTTGCCTTTTTTTTCCTTCAACTTCCTATCTTAGTTTTAGTGCATAGTTGCGATTTTCATTATGTGCGCCGGTCTCTTTGATGTTGCGTTGTATCACCTTTCTATTAAGAAAAATGTGACTTTTCAATAACTAGTTTTTTATATTCTCTTTGATGAATGACAAGCTTGTTCGTTTTTGTTTTGTTTAACTAAAAATGAAAAAAAAAAAAAAAACCTGTTGGGACCTGGAACCGACCTTAGAACCTGTGACAGGGTAGGTTCCAGATTCTACATTCCGACAGATAAGTTTCAGGTTTCAAAAAATGAGGAACTTATACCTGAGGGTAGATTTCATGTTCCAGGTGGAACCTGTGAGGAACCTGGAACTGCTCACCCCTAGTGCTGAGTGGGCGGAGGAAGAAGTCTCCACACTCTTCTTTTTAGCAAGTTGTCAACTTGCCAACTTGCTCAAGCTGGCAGAGTTTTCTGGAGACGATGGCTTCTAGGAAAAATCTGGAGAGCAAGGAACATTCTGGTCAAAGTGAGAGGGAGAGAGAGTCGGTGCTTGTCAACAAGGACATTCCGAAAAGAGAAAAGAAAAGGTTGAGGAGTACAAAAACTCGCGTTTGAGGATTTTTGTTTTTGTTCGAGTGCTTAAGATTGGACTCTGATTTTATTTATCTCGTAAATGCATCCGATAATTGGTTCATACTAAGATAATTTGAGTCTAAACTAAATCATACTTAGCACACATTACTTGAACCAACTACTGGGTTATTGATCATCAATTTCCAGCTTCCAATTACTCACAGGAAAGACACCTCTATCAAGCAAAATGTTGGTTGAACATGTATGAGCGAGTGATGTTTGATTTTAGGACCTGCAATGTTTTTTTTGAACACTTGCTGTGTTTCCATCCCCAGTCCCGATTGGTTCTTTAATGCTTAAGCTAATTGTGGAAGTGGGTCTCACAAAAAAATTCCTTTTGGAGTTTGTTCTTTCATGCTGAACAATATTGTTACAGGCGTCAATTCGAATAAAAAATATTTTTATCGTCCAAGAAAATATTTAGATATAAATTATTATTGATAATAAAAATATTTTTTATTAATTAATTATTTCAAGCGATACAAAAGAATATTTTTAGGAAAATATTTCCAAATCATTCATTTTCGGCGAAACAAACAAAGCCTTAGGCTCCGTTCATTTGGCGAAAAATATTCTTCTTTTGGAAAATATTTTCCCGGAAGTCATTTTTCTGGAAAATGTTTTCCCGGAACATAATTTTCTGGTGTTCGGCGACCAATATGAAAAAGTTTCGGAAAATATTTTTCAACGGCGACGGCCGGCGGCGGCGTCCGGCGACCGACGGCCAATGTCCGGCGGCGGCCGGCGACCGGCGGCTGCGGCGGCGGCCGGACCGGCGAGCGGCGGCGGCGCGGCGGCGGCGGCGCGGCGATCGGCGGCGGCGGCCGCGCGCGACCTTAGTGAAGAAGAAGAAGAAGAAGCTCCGGAAAATAATTTCCGCTTTTGAAGAAGCGGAAGTCATTTTCCGTTAACTTAGGCTATTTTGTGAGGGGGGGAAGGAAAATATTTTCCCACAGAAAACGTTTTCCGCCTCCCGAACACCGAAAAACCCGGAAAATTTTTTCCGGGAGAATATTTTCCGCCAAACGAACGGAGCTTAAAATGCAATTTGTTTCCGTTACATTTCTTAGGTGGTTTAGTATGTTTGTACAGTTATTAACTCTACTAGGATTTGCAATGGTTTTTGGGATTTTTTGAGTTGCTCTTATTTTGTTAAAATAAAATCCCTTGAGTGAAAATTTTCGTTAATGCTAATATCAAGATTTAGTTTATCATAAGATTTTTATTAACAATGGCCACCATTGCACACCTAGTTTCCTATTTTTATTGGACCATAGATTTTTATGAGCTTCAACCTTAAGTTGTTTCAACATTATATTATGGACTTCGAAGAATTATAATTGGAAATTTACAATGCATGAGATTCGAATAAAATAATTGCATTTGCATGTACGAGGCTATTCACTAAATATTTCACTTAAGATTAGTGTTTATTACAACATATGATGGCGGTTGTGAGTAGTACTCGGCTACTTTAGTGAGGGGAGTTTGGAATATTGTATCAACTTGTAACGGATTTGGGACGGGTTTTGAAAATAACATAAAGTTAATGGGATGGTTTAGGACCACTTCCCCTTTCCATCCCTAGTGATATTGAGATTGCTGCAAAGACATGATATCCAAGTTATTACGTACTAATATACGATGGAATTAATAAACTAGGTTGAAAAGTCCAACCCAAAAGTTCAAATTTTTAGGTAGAATGAGACTACATGTTTCTTAAGCCATTATACATTTCACATGTACGAAGAGGGATACTGCCTCACATAAAAAATATGACTGAAATAATATGAATGATAGACATGGAGTAAATAAAAGGGTAATAATACTACAAGCAAGAAACCAGGTAAGGAAAGAAACATTAGACTTCTTAAAGAATCAATGTGTCCGGCAGATTTGCTTCATGAACTCAAGGCATCAGCATCTTTTGTCCGGCAGATTTGCTTTATTCGAATATGACAGCTTCCTTTCTCTTCTCATTACAAGGGACAACCTAAAACTTGAGAGCCTGCACTTGTTGATAAGAAACGCAGACAGGAGAACACAAGCCATAGACAAAATGTTAGCCAAGAGCAGGTCATCTTTGTTGCCGCCACAGCGTCTGTTCTTTTCGTTCCATGCCAATATATTATGACCACCTGGAAAAGACGAAGATAAAACTACAAAAGCCAAGTGCCAAAGTCCCTTTGAATCACGTCATAACGAAATAATAAGGATAGAGCCTGAGTTTAATTAGCCAATATAAGGTGTGCGAAGGAACTATCCCTTGTTCTATGTCAACAATGGCAAAGTTCAAACATGTGCTGGTTATGCCATATCCTGCACAAGGTCATGTCACTCCTCTCCTGAAACTCTCACACTGTATTGCTGACTATGGAGTCGAGGTGACATTTGCGAACACGAAGTCCATTCACGCACGAATGATGGCTGCAAACCCTGGATTGGATGAGGGATCGAATCGGATTAAGTTCGTCGCGATTCCAGACGGGCTCGAAACTGACGAGGAGCGAAAAGACTCAACTAAGCGGCTGGAGGGCATGTCCAGGGTGATGCCGGGTCATTTGCAGGAGTTGATTGAGAAAGTGAAGGAGCAGTCAAATGGTAATGAGGATGAGCAGATCAGCTTCATGATTGTGGACCTGGCCGCTGGATGGGCATTGGAAGTTGCCGAAAGGATGGGAATTGAGCGAGCTGGGTTTTGGGCCGCATCGGTGTCCACTCTGGCCTTGAATCTTCATATTCCGAAGTTGATTGAGGCTGGAGTCATAGACAACGATGGTAAGGGACCAGAACTAGTACCCTTCACAATCAGTCTGATGAAGCCTAAGTAGGTCGTGTAACCATCTCTCAATTGCTTTATTGACAAACATTAACGAGAGATGAATCTACAACGTTTATCATGCCGATAATAGATGTACTTGTAGGAATAGGTAGTGTAAAGGTAATCTAAACTTGGCGTTGATAACTCATGCAGGCATCGCTCTGAAGAATGATCTCATCACGATATCGAAGGACCTTCCTTCATATAAGAGCACTGACCTCCCTTGGAGTTGCCCTGAAGACCCGAGGAAGCAGAAAATACTTTTCGGATATGCATTGTCCATCCTCCATCACAGCAAACGCTCAAACTTATTCCTTTACAATTCATTCCATGAACTTGAGGCATCGGCTTGCAGTGTCATTCCTGGAGCTCTCCCAATTGGTCCGTTAATACCGAGTGCCCGATTATTCCATCGCAGAGGAAGCCTGTGGAACGAGGACTTGACCTGCTCGAACTGGTTAGACCAACATCCAGCCCAGTCAGTCCTCTATGTTGCCTTCGGAAGCTGGACAGTATTCAGCCCGGAACAGTTCTATGAGCTCGCCCACGGCCTCGAACAGATCGCCCGACCATTCCTGTGGGTTGTACGCCCGGACATAGTTAACGGGCCAGTCACCGAGTTCCACGATGGGTTCCTCCAAAGGGTGAGGAATTATGGGAAGGTGGTCCATTGGGCACCACAAGAGGAGGTCCTGGCACACCCTTCGGTGGCATGCTTCTTCACTCGCTGTGGTTGGAATTCCACACTGGAAGGCCTGAGCAATGGACTCCCACTTCTCTGCAGACCTTACTCTGTAGATCAGTACCTGAACAGGAGCTTCATATGTGATGTGTGGAGGGTAGGTTTAGGAGTTGATGGTGGTGAAAATGGATTAATAACTAGGCATGAAGTGAGAGACAAGGTATTAGCAGTACTAGGGAGTGATGAGATAAGAGCAAATTGCCTGAGAGTGAAAGAGATGGCCAGAAAGAGTGTCAGTGAAGGAGGGTCCTCCCTGAAGAATCTGCAGAGCTTCATTGAACTCCTGAAGGCTTGAGGGTTCTTCTTGTTGTTCCTGTTCAGTGCTTAAGATTGAACTCTGTTTTTCCCTTTCGCAAATTGATGTCCTCATGATGGCAAATTAAGGCAGTTCCAGTGAATTTTTCACTAAAACTGAAAATTTTCAAGCCTGCCTAATTTGCTGGTTCCTAGTGAAGTACCAGGTTGTTCTCGTACAAAATTTCTGGGTTTTGTTAAAATAGATGATAGCAATAGAATTTATTATTCAGAATAAACAAATGGGTATCTTAAGGCTCATTAAAACTTCAAATCACAATTTATGATAATGAAGGTGATTGGCAGGTGATTGATTATTGTTTTACCTTTAAAATTTAACTCAAAATAATTGTATAATATTTAATATATCACTTATCTTTAATAAGACAATTTAAATATTACTAAAAAGAGTTGAAATCTCTACATTCTAACAACTGTATACAGCATTCCGTGTACGCAAGAAATTGATATTTTGAACTTCAAAAGTAAAAGATGTTATTTGCATCTAGCAAACAATCATGACAACCATTTACTAATTTTCTCGCCATGTTTCATTGTATCTTTTGATTCTAATTTTATTTTCATATATAATATGAAATACTTCAAATATTTAACAATTTATTTAATGTTTTAGCTATTAAAGATAATTTGAAATGCTTTTTCATGCATTTGCATAATAAGCAAAATTGCTTAACGCATTGAATCATGAAATCATCGAAAGAAATAGTTGGCAAAATACACAATACGTAGAAAGCGAAGGAGGACATTCCCAAAAGTAAAACAAAAGATTCGAGTATAGAACTCGTGTTCGAGGAATTTTGTTTTTGTTCAAGTGCTAAAGATTGGACTCTGAATGTTATTATCTTGCAATGCATCAGATGATTGGTGCTTAAAGCGAAACTCATACTAAGAACATTTTGAGTATATCCTACTCCCTAGATCATATTCAGCACACATATTTGAGCGAGTGATGTTTGATTTTTAGGTCCTGTAATGTTTTCTAAACACTTTTGGAGTTGGTTCATTCATGCTGAACAACATTATTATAGGCGTTATTGCTTAATATAAACAAGTCTCACATGAGCAAGTAGTTCTCTCAAAAGAACAAAATCTCGTTTAACAACTAATTAATTCAGTTCGAGTCTATCTTAATCGTATTTATAAGAGACCAAACTTCAAAGCAACATAAAGCGATTTCTACAAAATTAAAAGTTATTTTGACTCTAATAATATTGCTTTCAGGAAAGTTGTCCAAAAAGCCCGAATCTTATAGTATGGTAGCCAATTTAATCCTCAACCTTTCAATTATATCAATTTAGTCCTAAACCTTTCGAAAATTTTGGCAAATCTTCAAAAGGCCAAAATCTTCAAAAGGTTTATGACTAAATTGACAAATTGTCAAAAGATTTAGGACTAAATTGATGCAATTAAAATATCTATGACTGAATTGCCTGCCGTACAAGAGGTTTAAGACTTTTAAACAACTTTCCCTTTTATTTTCGATAATAACTCTTTTCTTTCACAAAAGGCTAACATTGTCCAGAGGTATATTAAAGAGGCTCCTAACTAGCACGTTGCAATTTATACTTCTCAGGAAAACTAAAATGCATTAAGCGCAATTTAATTAGGCGACCAGGCAAAAAAGGCTTTCGAGGATTTAAATCATCGCGCTTAACCGAGATCTTACAATTTAAGTCAACACGAAATCACCGAAGAAATAAGCAAGGAACTATAAAATACACCAAAATTTACATGGTTTGGTCCGAGTATCGGTACCTACATTCACGGAAAGAGCCAACAATAAATAATCTACTAATAATCGAAGAATCAAAGTTACAATTGCTTACTCGTTCGAATGTTTCCAAAACCTAAGTATATAAAATACGTGTGCCCATTCTTTTGTCTTGGAGTGGATATATTGAAGTAAAAAACAACCGAATGTCCAACCTCCACCCAAGGTGAGTCCAACTCTTGAATTTTATTGTGCTCTCAAACTCGGATATTTATCCAACCGAGTTAGATTCCACAAACAGCTTAAACTCAAAACATAATATAATAACCTTCAATGCCCCCGTTTATAACCCCGACCCCCTATCTAATTTGACGAGCTGGTCCATGGAGCCGCCCATCCTTCAAATGAAACAATTTAAATAGAAAAATTGCTTAAAATGAATCTCAGATCGAGTCAGGTATGAGTTGCTCGATTAGCATTGCATATAAATGAATCAATTTGGGTTGAACAATTTTCGACTCGACGATGGCCGGCCATAGGCGAGGGTCAATGAGGGATGGACCGGCTTGCCCCTCGCCAAAGGCCTACAAGGTTGACCCTTGCCAGATCGGCAAGGGTCATGCGGCGAGGTCAACTCTTGCCGAATTTGGTGCAAGCGTTGCGTCGCAGGCCATTGCTGAGGCCCGACAACCGGTAGAGAAAGGAGGACAAAAGAAAAAGGAAGAAGAAAAGAACAAAAAAGAAAAGATTCAGAAACTTCTTAAAAAAATTGCAAAAAAGCGTCCATTTCGGTGTTGTCTGGCGCTAACTGGATTGCCTCATCAGTGATTTTTAACCAGAAGGACAACATTGACTAATCGTCAAGAGGTTTAGGACTAAATTGGCCAAATTGAAAAGTTTAACTGAATTAACATCCGTTACAACTCTTTTGCTAATTATTAGTTAGATACATGGATTTGCAAAATTTCATGATTTATACCAGGGTCCTATGGAAAAAGTGGTTTACCCATGTGGGTACATCTATATGTATCAATCTTTTCAATCCTGCTTGTACCCTTCCCATCCGATCCTATATGGCACGGGGGTGCAGCTAGTGAATAGTAAGTGATGTTTGGAAGGATGATATACTTTTCTTTAAAAAGGGCGAGTCTTTTGGAAATTTTAAAAATTAAATTTTGGAAAATCAAGAAAATATTTTTATTTCCGACGAACGCTCTTTCTTTCTTAGAAGCCCCATATTGTTCATTTCAGCAGATATTTTATAGAGGTTCCATATGACATTGCAATTTACATTATTGAGGCAAATCTACAATGCTTTAAGCGCAACCATCTCCCTAAAAAAGGGCAAAAACCATAAAAAAAAATATAACACATTTACTCTAAACTTTTTTTTATGACACAACCAAATTTGTACCTGCGTGACACATTTACTCTTCGTTAAAATTCTGCCAATGAGAACCGTTAAAGATTTACCTACATTGATGCTAAAAAACAAACGATGTTAACATGACGCCCACATAACTTAAGTGAAATAAAACGGTATTGTTTTGGGTGAAAAATCATTTAATGGAACCTTAACGAAAGGTAAATGTGTTATATAGGTATAAGTTTGAGGTTTTGAAAAGGTTTAGGGTAAATGTGTCACAGTGGGCATAGTTTGAGATTTTTTATTTCACAAAAAAAATTTAGGATAAATGTATCACAATGAGCATAATTTGGGGATTTTTTGTGGCTTTTTCCAAAAAGAAAATTCGAACATGAACTCATCCCAAGCAAAAAAGAGTTGGGCCAAATGGGCCTTCAAAAATGAGGCCCAACTTCAACCCTTCGAGAAATACGGCCCAAAAAAGAAGGGTATGGACGGCATTTCCCACGCGGCAGCGGAATTAAAACCCTAGCTCGCGAAACTTTTCCTCCTCTTACTGTCAGAGAAAGGAACTGGTTTGGAGCAGCTGCGCCGTTGCAAGCAGAAGCTCCTTGGGTCGATCGAACATGGCGGCGCCGGCGAGGACGGTGAAGGACGTCTCCCCACACGAGTTTGTCAAGGCCTACGCCGCTCACCTCAAGCGCTCTGGAAAGGTATCTCTTCCTCATCGTGTAACGCGGCATCTTGCATGCGTTTTCTCTCGTCCAGTCGTTGATGCGCTCGATGTGTGATGTGGACGGATCGTGTGCGAGTCGAGGATTTTCTGGGTATGCGGATTGTGGATCTGTTTCGGAGTCTAGGACTGTGCAGTGTTGGATGGAGGCAAAAGTTCCGAATGTTTCTCGTGCTGGTTGCTTGAGTATCTTGCGAGGCGACCAATCTTTCTTGCTTGCTTTATTGTGATTATGGACGAATGGGTGTCTGTTGTTGAAGGATGTCCGTGCTGCAGAGAGTGTGGCTCGAGGGTTCAGGGTCTTTTTAGGCGTCATGCTTCCATAGCTCCGGCCGGTGACTTTGACGGGGTTATGGAACGAGGGCTGTTTACTGCTTTTTAGCGGGATATGATTGATGCTGTTTGTGCGTGTGGAGGGTTGGGAGTTTCTGTTGTTGTTGGGGGTCATTGGGCTTTTGATCTTTCGCCGGAATCGCTTCCTTTTCCTGTTAAGTAAGCATTTTAGGCTGAGTACTAGGGCAGCGGCGCCGCTGAAGTTTCGAAAACAAGATCGAGAGTTTTTGTATACCAGCCAGTAGAATAAATTTCCAAAAGTCGCGGACCGGCCGCCTTCCTAAGATGTTAAGCAGTCAAACTCCCAGCATCACCCTCAAAAGCATTTTGATACTAAATCATCACGATGAGCAACAGAACAGATTCTGATTTCTGATGTCCCAAGATCATATGTATAAGAGTTAGGCATCATAGGTGAACATACGGCTTCTCTGTTTTCCTTTTCTATCCTTTATTTTTTCTTTCATTTCTTTTCTTTGGGGCCAGGTGGGGACTGGCTTGTTTTCTGGTTAGTTGGTGTCCTTTACGTGGTTGAGTGACAGCTAGTTTCCCTGGAAGCTTTTGTTTTCAAAGTTAACATCTTTGTGGGGGATGTTTATGTCTTAGTCTGGAGAAGTTTGTGTGGATGGGATCTGGGTGGCATTCAATACTATCTTGTTCGCTTCATTGTATTACAGTTCCCTGTTCATGTGCCAAAGTCAAACTTTTACTTTGGTTTGTATGTTTTCTTGCTGTGTAATTGCTAAATTCGATTTCACATCTTTGTATTTTATTCTCTTAGGTCGAACTTCCCCATTGGACTGACATTGTGAAGACTGCTACATTCAAAGAGCTTGCTCCTTATGACCCTGATTGGTACTATATTCGAGCTGGTATGCTCTCTCTCTCTTTCTCTCTCTCTCTCTCTCTCTCTCTCTCTCTCTCTCTCTCTCACACACACACACACACACACACACACACACACAGCCTATTAACAATTCAATTAGTGTACATGTAAAAATAGAGCATGCAGCTACATTCATTGATTGGAATTTTGTGTGTGTTTCAGCTTCTATGGCAAGGAAAATTTATCTCAGGGGAGGCCTTGGTGTTGGAGCCTTCCGCAGGATCTATGGTGGGAGTAAGAGGAATGGCAGTCGCCCACCACATTTCTGTAAGAGCAGTGGTTCTATAGCTCGCCACATTTTGCAGCAATTGCAGAACATGAACATCATTGATATCGACCCGAGAGGGTAAGTTCTACTGAAACTAATGATTTGCTTAGTATTACCATTGTTTTGGTGGCTCTAATTTGTCTTTGGAAGTCGCTAGCAAAGATCAATGACTTTGGTTGCTGTGAAGCAGCAGCTCTTCTTATGGTACACGTCTGTTGGACTTGGGATGATAACTGAAACTCGTGCTCCTATGATTCAGGGGAAGGAAAATCACACCCAGTGGCCAGCGTGATCTTGACCAAGTTGCTGGAAGGATTGTTGTTGCCCAGTAAGAGAGGAGATCTGTTTTCGGATCGGATGCAAAGTTTACAGAACTTAGGATTCGCTTCCGATGGGGAGGAGTTTTGATAGAGCAACTTTTTAGTCCTGTGCTTGCTTACTGTGTTTGAAGTGCTCGAACAATTATTTTGAAATGGCTTTAGACGTATTGATATCCTTTGAATCCCTTTAAAATTACATTCTCAGCGATCGAATTTGCCACCTACTGTGTTACCTTGGTTGTGTTACCCATTTCCTTCTTTTCTGGGATGATACTATTCTGTTTGAAGGTGAAAATATTCTTGATGGCTGAGTGTAGGTGGGTCATTCATAGCAGTTATTTCTGGGACTGACCTTTAATATCTTGCTTAGAATATTATGCACCCGGGGTGCTTATCTGCAATGATATATAATTAATCGTGCTTTACAGGCAATCGTGCGCCTAAGTTGGTTATCTAATTGGTTCGTGATATCGCTGACTTGATGTTAGTGCAAGCAGACCAAATTTATGATTGATCTGTGATAAACGAGGGAATTCGTCAGCTATCTTAGAAGGTTACCTGCGCTGTATTCATGAAGGTGAAACAGGAGTGTTGAGGATCGCCTGCCGATTGACTTTTCTAATTTCGGGAATGATTGGACAGGCCTCGCTGATTTATGCGTGTGGGAGATTAGTCAGTGCTGCAAAAGGCTTGGGAATGGGTAGGTTCCGGCATCATTTGCTTTCTTGGCATGATTGTGACCAAGAAAGAAGACGAGACGTGTCATAAATCAGGGGAAGCGATCGAAGGATTTTGCTGGAAAATGTGAGATAAGTGAAAGTCTTCACCGTGTCTCGGACGTTGTGTATATTTAGAGGTGTGCTGAACAGGGGAACTATTTCCAATATAAGATCCGTTGCTCTTGTAGTTCAGCGTGACTGGATCGGATTTATTTATTTTGCGAAAAATAAATTAATTTAGAAAATATTTTTTAAAAAATAGTAGCTTTGCATTGTTTAAAATAATTAATAGATATAGTAATTTATGTTTAAATATTTTTTTCAACAATAAAAGTATTTTTTTGTTGATTTATTTTATAAGCAGTACAGACAACCATTTTTAGAAAAAATATTTTTCAAATCATTCATTTTTCGTGAAATAAATGAAACAAAACATAAAAATCTCTCTGAAAAATCGAATAGAGGGAGCCTAAAGAAAGAGAAAAGAATGGAACAAGATCCGTGGCGTGAAATTGCCAATGAGTCTTTGATATTTCTTTAACGTGAAGATTGCTTCCTCTTTTTTTAATGTGATGGTACGCACTGGATTAATTTATGAGCGCTTAAAAAAAAGAAAAAAAAACGGAAGAAGGGCAACCTTCCAGAATTTGGCTGGTGGCCTTGCGGCATCAGGGGGCCCCGGTAAGTAAGAGCCGTCCTGATCGAAGACGACGTCGGCACCGACTCGGCGCGGAGCCCGGGGCCCCGGTGACGTGTCCCCCGTCGGCAGTCCACGTCACCGCCCGCGTAGGCCCCACCCCGTCCCCGATCCCGATCCCGTCGCCCTCGTCCCGCCACGTGGAAAGCCGGGGGAGGGGACAAGATTCGTATCTCGAAGAAGCGCTCTGCCCCGCCGATGTCTCCCCCCCACCCCACCTGGCGCGCAGCAAGGAAGAAGGAAGAGAATCTCGCGAACCAGCCCCCCAAGCAAAGCAATGCAACACGAGCGACGTTAGCTTCTCCATTTCCATCTCTCTCTCTCCCTCTCTCCCTCTGCGGATCGCGGGCGATTTTTTCCTCCTTTTTCCGGGGACGATTCTTCTTCTTCTTTCTTCTTCGTCTTCTTCCGTCGGCGGAGTTCGGTGATCGCCGGTTCTTCTCCGGATCTCTTTCAGCGCGGCTGGCAACCCGCGCCCGTTCGTCTGTGAGTTTCCCGATAGTCTCTCCTGACTGCTTCGGAACCGTTGTTCGCGGTTCTTTTTTCCTTGTTTTGGGCGAAGCTGTCGCGCGCGCGTGGGGATGATCTTCTTCGTGTGTTGATTCTGGTGATTCGTTCGTTCGTTCGTTCTTATTTTCTGTCTCGCCTGCTTTGGGGTGGAGTTTGTGGATTTAGGATCGTTTCGCTGATTGTTTCTGTCTGTGGCGTCTTGTGGGGACGAGCTCAGCTCGCTCGATGTGGATCGGATTTTGAATTCCGTTCTCTGCTCTTTTTGTCCTCCCCCCCGCGTTTGCGATGCTGGTTTGACACGAAAGCTCCGTGTATGCTGCCCTTTTTAGGCCCCCTCTTGCCACTTGAGCCTCGACGTCCGGTAGCTTCTGCGCTGGGTGGAACATACCTGGACTTGCTTCTTGGAGGTCGAGACGGTGCAGCGTGCGAGACTTGGCGGAACGGGGAGATTTTCCGTTGCGGAGTAAGTGTTGATCGGGTTTCGGTATTTGAACGGATGACGGAATTTGTTGGAGCGCGATGTAGTCCGAGATGCCTCGTTTAGAATGAGGACCGGGGTAGTTTAGTGGGGAATGGCTGAGGATGGTGAATTCGGCGTGTTGCTTCCTCGGTGGAAGAGCATCGGTAGGATAGAATTGGCCGAGTCCCATCTCCTCCTTCTTTCATGCTTCATTGGCGGTTTGGTGGGGATATGTACTATCCTGTACACGGCTTTCCAATGGAGACGGAACATCAATTTGAGCTGGATGAAAGCCATAGCCAAATCGAAAAAGAACCCAAAGTCCAGGCAAAAGGTCCCCAAAGCTCCTCATGCATGGACACCAGAACCCGTATCGCGCGGTCTAAACTGTTCCGTGTGTTTGAAGTCCATGTCCACTTCCCAGGCTCTCGGCTCTATGGGTGCTTCAGACAGTTTCATCCATCGATGCAGCGCTTGCGGCACGGCGGCTCATTTAAGCTGCTCCTCAGCAGCTCACAAGGACTGCAAGTCTGTGTCAATGATTGGGTATGACCATGTGGTACACCAATGGACTCTGCGGTGGGCTGAATTAACGGATCATCCAGAGGAATCATTTTTATGTAGTTATTGCGAAGAGCCATGCAGCGGCTCGTTTCTTGGTGGATCTCCCCTGTGGTGTTGTCTTTGGTGTCAAAGACTCGTGCACGTTGACTGCCACAATAGTGTATCCAGTGATGTTTGTGATTTAGGCCAATTTAGAAAATTGATTGTATCCCCTCTTAATGTTAAAGAATTGAGCCACAGTGCCTCAGGTGGATTTTTTAGCTCAATCACTCATGGGGCCAATGAGATTGCATCTACAATGCGGGCAAGTATCGGGAGTCGAAGAAAGAAGTCAAAGCACGGAAGTGGATCTTCCACTACTACTGGAAATAGTGTGAGTAGCAGTGACACAACAGCTGAAAGCACTGCTGATATGAGCTCATCGGCAGATTTTTCTCAGAAAATTGGAAAAAATCACAGTGAGGAAGTGGACACTAGTGTTTCTCTTCAAAATGGTAAATTAGTTGAAGAATTGCACGGAGAAACCAGTTCCACGAGTAGACGAATTGATCAGAAAGATGAGGATCAGATGATAGGCATGAAACAAAGATACGAATTAATTGATTTGCCTCCGGATGCAAGACCTCTTTTAGTTTTTACCAATAAAAAGAGTGGAGCTCAGCGGGGGAACTCTCTTAGACAACGAATGAACAGTCTTCTCAATCCTGTTCAGGTTCGATATCAGTTGACCAACTTCTAATTGTTGCATCTAATTTCCTTTGTTTCTGTTATCCCTCTATACCTTCTTTCACCCTCTTCTGGTTGTTGAGATGGTTGCACAATAACCCTGGGAGTGAATGCCATACATCTCAAACAAACAGTGACAAAATGATAAATCCTGCATATATCTTCTTTCCTCCTCAAGCTTCGTTATGCGGCAATAGACAATCCTGATATTGTTGCATGGTCTTATTTGATGCATCTTAAGCAATATGTCTTTTCTAGGTTATTTATGAACTCTGTATGAAATGAATCCTGCTTGACATGGTTCACTAGATGGAGCTAATTTATAATCTGTTTTAGAACTTGATTTCCTCCTCGACACAGCGTTTGGAAATTGTAGCTTTGACAACTTTGTAGCTCCTTCAATGCCAGTACTAATATGGAAAACCGAATAAGTTGTGTAAATGATTGTTGAGAAGTACAGGAACCATACAGTGTGCTGGTGATGAGTTTGTATTCAGAACTCATGTTTTATATTTGCTTAGTAAGTATAAGATAAAAGAAGGCAATATAAAAGCTATTGATGATTTCCCGAATGGTAGACCATGCGTCCTGATTGTTTGGAAGTTACGTATGATACAAAGGAGTGAAGATATGTTTGTTTAAAGTTGTGTGCTGTCATTTCTTGCACTCATTTGTGAGTGCACTATCACTTTATTCTAACAAATGTAGGAGTATGCCGAACTTCTAATGACAGTCGAGCATGGCACGGCTTCTTTCTTGCAGTAATCCTTTGACCCAGTGCAAGGAGGTCTAGTGTATTATGATACGGTGCGGCTTAGGGTTCTAGTACAACAAAAGTAAAAAGTATAGACAAATAAATCTGGGCTTTTTATATATGAAGGAGATATCATTAGCTTTGTATATAATCCATATCTCAAATGATCTGTAACTATGCTAGTTCACTCTGGAGGACGAATTCTTTTGTAGAACATAAGAGTAGCCTTGACTTGAAATTCTATTAGTAAAGTGAAAGCACCCTATAGAGTAAGGCTCCCTTGTGGATAGCTGCGAAGTCATCCTGTTGGTATGGACTATGGAGACTGGTCCTTTTTTTTTTTTTTCTTTTTTTCTTTTCAGGGGTTTTATTGGTTCGTCTATTTCTTTTGTTCTTTCTGACAAACGTTGTTAATTTTTAGGTCTTCGAGTTGAACTCCACACAAGGACCAGAAGTTGGTCTTCATCTATTCAGGAAGGTGCCTCATTTTAGAGTCCTTGTGTGTGGGGGAGATGGTACTGTAGGCTGGGTTCTGGATAAGATTGACATGCAGAATTTTGATTCTCCTCCTCCAGTAGCTATTCTTCCAGCAGGGACTGGAAATGATCTGGCTAGGGTTTTGTCTTGGGGAGGTGGATTAGGCTCAGTGGAGAGACAAGGAGGTCTATTTGCATTGTTAAACCAGATAGAGCATGCTGCAGTTACTCTTCTTGACCGATGGAAGGTATCAATCGTTAATCAACAGGGAAAACAGCTTCAAAAACCCAAGTTTATGAACAATTATATTGGTACGTGTATATTGGTACGTGCACATGCATCTAAGCAAATGTTCTTTTCAATTAATTCATGGACAATTTATATGATTGCATGCATGCATTCAGGATGGAGCTTTTCTGATCAGCTGTAGGTCCTTCGCTGGACATGTTCCGGCCATTGCTCTGAGATTTAGATAGTCAAAGCCATATTTTCAGCCTTCTCATTTTCTTTTCCATGCCTTTTATATTGACTGAGTACAGCATGGCATAATGTATAGGCATATCGTATTCTTCTCTCATCTTGAATTGCAACAATGACCAATCGGTTTTGAACCCCCCACCCCAAACCATCGGATGAAACTAACATAGCATCTTCCACCAGTGGAGTTGCCTACCCATTATCTGTGATGGTCCTCTGGAGTTTTAGACATCTGCTAGTAAGTAGGATGAGCTGATTACTTTATTTCAAAGCGAGAGTTTGTTCTTCAATTTAAGGATATGGATTGTATACAAGTCTCAAATTTCAGGTTTAATGTAAAAAGAAGTGTTGCTGGAAACATGTTGAATATCTTTTTTTTGATAATCAACATGTTGAATATCTTTTTGTAGTACATAATTAAAATTATGGTTGCAGGTCGCTTTGCGCCACTGTATGGTGCATTTATTGGAATGTCATGTATGATGGCACACAAGAACATATATTTGCTGACCTTGAGTGGTTTACAGGAATTGGTTGTGATGCAAAGGTTGCTTTGGACATACATAATTTGAGAGAGGAGAACCCAGAGATGTTCTACAATCAGGTAACTTCAGATATTGCTGAGATTATGAAGTGTTTTATATTTCAGAGAGAATTTTTCATTTGATGTGCTACGTTGCCTGTTTATTTGTTGGACCTACCTTAAGCTCTGACCTTCAAGCATGTAAAGAGTAATTGAGGTGTTGTTTCCGTTACTTTCTGGTAGTAGTAGTTGCTTTGTGGCCAAAAGAGAATTGTAGCGCTGGGTTGAGCGCTGGGGAAGAGTTTATCAGTAAACATATGCTATCTACTGTTCTCATCTCGCGGAGCATAATCTATATTTCTCCTGTTTTTTACTGGTGGAAATTCTCGACATCACGAGACAAACAAATGCATTTTTGTGCAAATTCCCTCAACTTTAGCTAGTCTATGGTTTGGAAAATATAGCTCCCACAATTTATGTGGCTATGGCGCTTGGAATTTATAGGCATAGAAGAAGATGGTTTATGTTATAAAACGAAGTATCTTGAATGTCAGCCATTAATGGTAGAGCCTCAACGAGAGGCTAAAAGCATTTCCACATATTTGGCTTATTTATGATGGAGATGGATATTTGCTGTAACTTTTGCCTTGCTGTTACTGGGACTAGTCACTATGTCATGGATCTACTTGCTAAATATTGTTCGTCGATATTCCTTTGTTGAGATTGTTAACTTGCTGAGTGAGTAGAACTCATTTTCTTTCACCTTTTGTCTATCGATTGATTGTTGAGACTTCTATGCAATTTTGAATGGGTAAGGCACTCCTTGTATGATAGCTCCATGAGATAGTCATAACAATTTTATAACATGACATATAGAGGGGAGATGTGTGCTTGCTACTTTCCAGCCTCAGCATGCTGAACGAGAGTTGGATACATCTGTTCTGGTGGAGAATTAACCATATTCTTGTCAATGTATATTCCAATCTTATAGTTTGTTGCTACTATTTCAGTTCATGAACAAAGTTCTTTATGCAAGAGAAGGTGCCAAAGGTATAATAGACCGGACACTCGCAGATTTTCCTTGGCAAGTTCGCCTTGTTGTAGATGGTGTTGAGGTAGAAGTCCCTGAGGTGCGTATTATGAATAGTTGCATGACATATCAATGTGTGGCTTAGTACTCTCTTTCTTATTGGGGGTTATTTGATTGAGCTAAGCAGTGCTTGAGCATCTCTCATCCGGCAATCACAGGCTAGTTCAGATTGCTTAGATAATGATTTTATGATGTTCGTAGGATGCAGAAGGCGTGCTTGTAGCCAACATCAGAAGCTACATGGGTGGCGTAGATCTATGGCAAAATGAGGAGGAAGCTAATGATAACTTTGACCCACAATCTATGCATGATAAAATACTAGAGGTCGTGAGCATATCAGGAACATGGCATCTTGGGAAGCTTCAGGTAGTTTTCGTGATCCACCTTGTAAATTAAACCAATTTGCCTTCTAATGAATCAGATAGCATCTTGGGAAGCTTCATGTTGATTTTAAGTTCCATCCCGTAGATTAAAATGATTTGGCTTTTAATGAATCAGATTCTCTTCTAATGAATAAGATTTGTAAAAACCTTTTAGAGAAGAGGACTTGGGTCTCTTCTACAGAAATTATGATTTGACTGAGAATCTTCAGTTTGGACATAACAGACAAGGTCCAAAGTTGAGTACAGATGGCTTTACAACTTGAGAATGCATGGAAAGTGTTTTGGTGGTGATTTAGTCTAGGCTGATTTTGAGAATCTTACTTTGGGCAAGTAAATTGACTGAATACATGTTAGTATGACTTGAACTTGCATCCTGCCGAGTGACAAAAAATAAATAAATGTCAAGCAGAGTTATGTACAGGCATAAGTAGTGATAGTGGTGAATTTGACTGTTCACGTTTAGCCAATGCAGTGATTCTCTGTGTTGCTGCTTTTTAAAAGGTGGGTCTTTCACGTGCACAAAGACTTGCTCAAGGGCAGTCAATCAAGATACAGCTCCTTGCAGCATTACCTGTTCAGATTGATGGGGAGCCTTGGTTTCAGCAACCATGTACATTGGCCATATCCCATCATGGACAGGTGATTTCCTTTCCCTGCGCTGCTTGTATCAACCCCACCTCTTTTTTTCCTTCCTCATCCTTTCTGTGTCGGTTGCATCTGTTGTGTCGAGTGTGTGAGTGTTCAAGCGCACTCACTCACTGCTCGAATGCATAGATTAGTACATCCATTGGTCCACCTTGCATGAAGCTTGCAGGTGGGTTGGGGCAGACAAGCATCGCCACAGAAATTTTCATTGACATGGTTATTGATCTAGCTACAGTGGACCTTACGCATATTGATTACCAACTGAATATTAATATGAATGTGACTTTTGGAAATCTAGGAAGAGAACTTATCATGCAGTCAATAAGGATGTATGGATGGTTTGAGCGGGACCATCTTTCCTTCCATGATTTTCATCTGAAAGAAATGCTCTCTCAACTTACATGTCACTTGGCATTGTTCTAAAGATCCCCTGGTAATTAATAGCTCTTCAGCCACGAACGCTTAATCTACCAGTTATTGGATGGTCCTAAGACACAGGCGCAAATTTTCTCAACTGGGACTTGTGAGATCAAATCGATCAAATGTGGCCTATTTGTTATTTAGCTGGGCCCTTGCCAGGATAACATTATGATGAAGGGATAGGCTCTCTTATGTTTGTAACTTCCTCACTTGGGCAACACTCTTTTAGCTCATGCTAGTGCACTAACATCTAAAGGACTCAATATCACGATAGGTAATGAACTTTCTGTGAATATACAAAACTTGAGGGTGCTTCGGAATGTTTGCGGAAATTCGGATATATATGCCCTGTCAAGCACTATCATGCATTTTGACCCATGCATTCAAAGCCAAACTCTACCTTAAGAGCAAAAACTCCCTTGTGTCCATCGGATCAGAATATAGTCAGATAGTTTTTGCCCTCCTCTTTGGAACCATCAAGTCTGCTGTAGTGCCTGTCATTTGATGTGTGTTCTTTTTTTTTGAGACGAATGGTTTTGTGATGTGTTGAGCAGGCCTTCATGCTGAAAAGGACGGCGGAGGAGCCTCTCGGTCATGCGGCTGCTATGATCGCCGACGTTCTTGAGAATGCGGAGATCAATCAAGTAATCAATTCATCGCAGAGGCGTGCCCTTCTTCACGAAATGGCGCTGAGGCTATCGTAGACTTGTTCTGTTTATGTTCGTCAGCAAGGGCGTTCTTGTACATGGCACCGTAGCTTTAGAAAATCCATTTTTATTCCCGTCGAGTTAATAGCTTTTCTCATATGGTTGTGTATATCATCTCATCACATGTACCACAATTTTGTGCTCTTGCGGTACTCATAAATGTTTATACGTAATGCGTGAAAAGCTTAAGCTTTTAAGCGCGTCCGTCTTTTGTTGCCCGTCGGACGTCTATTTCAAATCCAACAAGATGCTAATGAAACGCGGTACCATCATAGGCAAATTTTATTCTGTCTGTTACACGGAACTTGCTTGGTTTTTCGAACTATCATTTGCTTGTCCTGTCATCTCTTTCTGTTAATTTTAAAAGCCCTGGCATCGGGAGCAGACCGTCGGTACCAAACGTCGCCTGCGACGGAGACCTCGTATGCTTCTCTCTTCTTCGTTTTTTCTATGGAATTTTGTCCCCTACGTCAAAGGCATGAAATCGATAGTCCGAGTCTTTGATTAGAATGCGATGGCGATGTAATTGTAACGTACGCAAAGGGAAAGGGATGGTCGTGGAGAGAATTGCTCCGTCAATCGGGGTTTCTTTAACATGTCGGCAGCGTAAACGTAAGATCGGAATCAAAAGTCGGTTGATCTTGAGCTTCTTTGTCCCAATAGAAATTCAACCTGTGTAATGTTTCTGGAGAAAGAGGTAAGAAAGATTAGGCAAGTTCGGAGAATATATTCCCGCCTTCCAACTCGTAGGTGGACCTCGTCAATGTAAAGTATGGTGGGGTTAGTATCTCAAATCCTCTACACTAGGACTCCACTAATTGGGTTGTTGACACTTGGCAACCGAAGGGTCTAAACATCAAGAAACATTATGAGCCGCCTAATCAAGAATAGTCTTGGTTGAAGCTAGGCCATTGTGTGAATATTCGATGATCGAGCGCTTGCTTTTAAGATGATATCGGTAACGAAGGTCTCGAGTTTGTTTTTTTTGGCTGAGATTTATGCTTTTGGTTCGTGCAATTCTTTTCTTGACCTCAATTTTCCCAAGAGGGTCAGCAAGGGTCCCACTGAATCAGCTTCATTTGACCAACTTCTTCCACTTTTTCACTACTTCAGTTTAGTACATTCGTATTTCTTTTTGCGGTTGCAATTTTCAGGAGAAATCTGAAATTCAAGTTCAAAGAGAGAAGGAGAGGAAGTAAAGAAGAAGGAAGTGGGCCGTGATTTCAGGGCGGCGAGAGACGACTCTCAGATTCGCATGACGGGGTTCACATGGGATGCGTGGGACTTGGCAAGACGACGTCGCTTTCGTTCAACGCATTCCAACGGTCACTCCATCCCCGGGATCTTCATCATTTTCAGTGAGCCACCACCTCCTTACCTACCCTTTTGTTTTTTTTTTTTTGGTCAATTACCACTTGAATTTTCCGGATTAATAAACGTCGGGTTTGAGATTCCATCATTACCAGCTAACGAGTCCTTTTAGATCGATAATGACACTTAAGAAAGTGTCGACACGTGTTTGGCGAGTTTGGCAAAGTGTAGAATCATTTGTCTATTTGACCGATTCTCATCCGATGCAACGATATATCCGATCTGTGAGTGATTTTGAAAGTACACAATGTCCGTATCTTCTTGGATGATCCAAAACGAACGAGTTTACGCGATGATCAAAAGAGAATTGGAGCTCGGAAAATTTAAGTTTAGTTTCTTTGTTTGTAGAGGGGACAATTGTCCAAAAAAGTCATTATAACTTGTTGTACAGCGGCCAATTCAGTCCTAAACATTTTGATGATTTGTCAATGTAGTAGTCCTTCAGATCAATTTTGGCTAAAAATCGCTGACGTGAACGCCGGCCTTCCTATGTGGCACGACCGCCGAATTTTTTCGTTTTCTTTTCTTTTTTAATCTTTCTTAATCTTTTCTTTTCTTTCCTCGTATTTTTCCTTTTCGCCTATGGCCGATTGAATTTTTCCTTTTCGCCTATGGCCGGTTGCCGATGCCAGCAATCAGCTGCAGGTGAGGGTCGCCCTCGCCTAGATCTAGCGAGGGTGGCTCGCCCCGACCCATGCCCAGATCTGAATCCATTCATTGTATTGATCGACAGTTGACTTCATTCGCCATATCGATCGAAGAGCTAATCTTGATGGAGAGTCGAATTCATTCACCATGTTTGGCCAAAAGATGACTACCGACAATAGGAAAAGCCTTTCTCCTTGCTGCATTGTTAGAATCAATCAAAACATAGCTCCACGTATTTCATGTTGTCGACTATTTATTAATAATGATGATCCGACTTTTTGTGAATTTTGATCATTTGTGGATCACATGACACGCGAACCGAAGCTTTAATAAGTGACTCATCATACATGTGTATGGCTAAGTGATCAATCAAATTAATATCTCATGCTTAAATCCGAGGACGCTACACATGCTCATTTCTTAGTCAAGAAAGCAAATCGGCGGCGCCGTTAGTGAATCGATTTTTGTTGTTGTTGTTGTTGTTAGTTACGTCATTTCGCGCTAATGTAAGCTCTATTAATTGATTCTTCAGCCAAGTTGGGCGCGAATAATAGGCCTAACGAGAAGTTAATTATGAAGTCAAGTCAAGGTTAGGGCCATTGCAATTCATTATTATCATTATGATCATCATTGTTTCAATAAGTCAGCTTCCATAAACATTGTGCCAAAATGATTTGATCAGAATAGTTTGTGTTTAGCTTTGATTGATCGCGTCTCTTGACTTAGAAACAGTAGCGATTTCATACGCATCCTTTTCCATAAATAACGAGTTATTCGAGTAAAATGTCTGAAATTACTACTACCAACTTTGAGTTATGATCAGAAACAACTCCGAAGAAGAAGCTGTTACATTTGATTTCGGCTTAAAACTCTTCACATGCACCGACTTTAAATCGAGCCCCACTTTCGATCCGAACTATTTTTTTATCTCGTAAATGACACCGATTTGAGCCCGTGTCCCCATTCTGACCCGAACTTTTCTTTGTCTCGCAAAAAAAAAAAAAGCATCAACTTTAAGTTCTAAGTCCGAATTTCGGTCCCTACTCTTTTTTTCCGTCCGTTAAAAGAGCACCAGGTCTCGATCGATGCCCAACTCTGGCTCCCGCCGGCTATCGCCAAGTACACGAGGAATGACGTGTCGAACATTTAACGGCATTACAAGAACCGGAACTAGAGACCAACTGAAAATTAGTGCTTTTTTACAAGACCAAGAAAATAATTGGGCCGCAATTGGGATTCGAGCTAAATTCGGTACTTTTTCATGAGACAGAAGAAAAAGTTTGGATTCGAATTGAAACTCAAATTAAGATTCAAGTTTTTTTAAGGGGAATCGAGCCCTCTAATTTCTTATAGGGAAAACAACACAAACAATTTTTGAATTTTGGCCCAACGTGTAATGTAGTCATTGCACTTTTAATTTGTTCAATATAGTTCCTGAACTTTAACCTAACGTGTAATATGGTTCATGAATTTTAATTTGCTCAATGCCATCCCTAAACTCTTGGTACATGTTCGGGGACTATAATAAATATGTACGAAAAATTCAAAGATCATATTGAACAAATTCAAAAGTTCAGAAATCACTTAACACGTTGAGCCAAATTCAATAACACACATTAAAAATCGCTGCAAGTCCCACTTGTACGAAGCTGTAATACCGCAGCGCCCAGCCAAGCAGAAGTTAGGGGACCGCTTGAACGGGAAGCATCTCTTCGAACGAAGGAAGTCAAACTACCGAACTAGGCCAAGTGCACGAGGGGAAGTCAGAAGCTGCCTCCAAGGCAGGCAGTTTCCTTAATGTCACCACCACTTCGGAAATTAGCGAAAACCTTCGATGGTGCTACAGCCTCGTCGTCAAAGAGACAGCACAGCATCGAGTGATGGGTGGGTATGTCCCAGAAAAGTCAAGAAGTGAGGAATTCCTGAATATTACCATATGCATCTGCATTTTCGGGACCCCTCCTGCCTATATAAAACGTAAAACGACGCTTGGATTTCGTCCCTTCGAACACGATTTTGTCCCGTCCCTTGCCGTCCACCTTACCTTCCAGCCCGCATTGCAGTGCACTTGACGCCTCCGCGTCAACTTTTTTTCTTCTGGGTGCTGATTTGCAGGCGTTTCATCAGGTATCAACACGTTAATCTCGCGTTCTGGGCCGGTTGTTTTTGTCGTCATCCCTCTCTCTTCACCATCCCTCTCTTTCTTATTTATTTTATTGTTCTTTAAAGGGAGATCACAATCGTGAAACTCTCGGCTTTGGCTTTGATCGCACTCCATAAACCACGCCTTCTTTCAACCCATCGGGCTCACGTTGTTTCTGCACTTTTAAGCTTCCGCTTTCACCAGAGCTGGGTAGATCTCTTTCGTCAATGATGGGTTAAAAGTTACAAAAAAGAGAAAAAGCCCCCTTTTTTTTTTTGGTTGGGTTTTCCTCAAAGATCCCCTTCTTTGTCTCATTCGGGAATATGGGTTTAGTCCAAAACCTCGTCTTTGCGAAGTTGGGAGAGTTTATTATATTTAAAGCGCTTCAACAGGAATAATTTGGTCGGCGGTGGAAGGAATATTGCCTGGCAACTCGAAACTCTGGAATCGGGGTTTTTGGTCTTACCTTGTTTTCGGCAAAAGATCTGCCTTTTTTTTGTTAAGTATATCTAATCTTTGTACAGTTTCCTATAAAAGGATGATGGATATGACATAGTTGTTTTTCCTGTGAAACGGTGTCCGACGAAAGCGACTGTTCAATGCATCCCTCGACAGAAAGCGCGTAAAAACAGAGTCCCAAGTTTTTTTTTTTGTTTTGAGTCATGCTCCCGGTAATAATAAGCTGGGTTGAAGGGTTCTTGTCAGGAAACAGCAATTGGCGAAGCATTTCTTTTTCTTTTAACTGACTTATGAGAAGGGAACCCAGAAATGTTTAGTGTTGAAAATCCTCTCTCTCTCTAATAAGTTTCAGTTCCCCTCTAATGAAGGGAACTGCAGCTCAATTTCCCTTGTTTGTTACTGAAAGGTGCCTGTTTTGGAACGTGTTGAACGTTTAACAGTTCTGACCTTGCTTAGCTTTGTGGAAGTGCCACCATCCTCCATAGCCCCTTAGATCTTAGGTGGAGGTTTGTGTATTTAAGTGGGCTCCGAGTCTCCTCTTTTTCCCAAGGTGGTGGTGACCTCTTCCTTCTTAATTCTGTGTAGTTTGATTGGTGGTCCATCCCTTCTCTAGTCTTTTTTCCTTAGGGTTCTGATTTCTTCGAGTCCCAGTTGGTGATTGAGAAGGTACTCCCTGCTAGTTCCTAAATCCCCATTTCTTACCGAACCTTGGTCAATTATCTTGAAGATCAGATGTTCTGTCTGCATATGCAATTTTTCATTATGTCGCATTTTAAGCTTATTTTCTCCTTGCTATCTCTTCGATGTTATGATGATGTTTGTTCCTTCCCAAGAACAAACATTTGGTTTTCTTCGTCTCTGTGTTGTTTATCCTCGAACAGAGATTTCTGGTCTTTCATGGGCATCTTTGTGCCTATTAGTGTGGATGGAATGGTCACCTTCTACGATGTCATGCATGTAATCTTTTAGCTCCATTTGCTCCGTACCACACAAGTTCATGTTAGATCAGACTTCGTGAATGATTGATCCAGCTCTTTCTGCACAATGAAGATATCGGTCTCCTTTTGTAAATTGCTTAATGCACGGAACCAGAACTGAGTGATTGTGGACGTTCAGGCATTTGATTTATGCCACATACTTTTTGGGCCTCTGATCTGTTTGCGACATACTTTTTGGGCCTCTGATCTGTTTGCTTTGTCATTTATTTTCCTTCTGATTGTGTTTGGCCTGAAATTGTTTTTCCATGAAGAACTGAAGATGGTCTGTCAATTTTTGGATCTTCTCTTTTCAGGCTTCAGATTTCTTGACAAAATGGTGAAGATTTGTTGCATTGGAGCTGGTTATGTTGGGGGTCCTACCATGGCAGTTATTGCTTTCAAGTGCCCCTCGGTCGAGGTAGCTGTTGTTGACATCTCGGAGCCTCGAATCCGAGCCTGGAACAGCGACCAGCTCCCCATATATGAGCCCGGTCTTGAAGAAGTGGTGAAGCAGTGCCGAGGAAGGAATCTCTTCTTCAGCTCGGCAGTGGAAAAACATGTCTCCGAGGCTGACATAATCTTTGTTTCTGTCAACACCCCGACCAAAACTCGGGGCCTTGGAGCTGGCAAAGCCGCGGATTTGACTTACTGGGAGAGTGCAGCGAGGATGATTGCTGATGTGTCAAAGTCTGATAAGATTGTTGTCGAAAAGTCGACTGTCCCAGTCAAAACGGCCGAGGCCATTGAGAAAATTCTGATCCACAACAGCAAGGGAATTAGCTTTCAGATTTTGTCGAACCCAGAATTTCTCGCTGAAGGGACAGCCATTCAGGATCTCCTCAGCCCGGACCGAGTCCTCATCGGAGGGAGGGAAACCCCTGGAGGCAGCAAGGCAGTAAAAGCACTGAAAGATGTTTATGCTCAGTGGGTTCCCGAAGACAGGATCATAACGACCAATCTTTGGTCAGCCGAGCTCTCAAAGCTGGCTGCCAACGCCTTCTTGGCTCAGAGGATCTCATCTGTTAATGCCATGTCGGCTCTTTGTGAGGCCACAGGAGCCAATGTCTCCGAAGTTTCCCATGCTGTCGGAAAGGACACTAGGATCGGCCCCAAATTTCTTAATTCTAGTGTTGGTTTCGGAGGCTCTTGCTTCCAGAAGGACATTCTGAATTTGGTCTATATCTGTGAATGCAATGGCCTGATTGAAGTTGCAAACTATTGGAAACAAGTCATTAAGGTGAATGACTACCAAAAGAGCAGATTCGTCAATAGGGTCGTCTCATCCATGTTCAATACGGTTTCCGGGAAGAAAATTGCAATTCTCGGGTTTGCCTTCAAGAAGGATACTGGCGACACGAGGGAAACTCCAGCCATCGATGTGTGCAAGGGGCTTTTGGGTGATAAGGCAGAGCTGAGCATTTATGATCCCCAGGTTACCAAGGATCAGATTGAGCGGGATCTCTCAATGAGCAAGTTCGGGTGGGACCACCCAGTTCACCTCCAGCTGACGAGCCCTGCTGCAGGCGAGCAGATCTGGGATGTCGCTGTAGATGCTTACGAGGCCGCAAAGAATGCACATGGGCTGTGCATTCTTACTGAATGGGATGAGTTCAGGAAACTCGATTACCAGAAGATCTTTAACAATATGCAGAAACCCGCGTTCGTGTTTGATGGCCGTAACATTGTTGATGATGCGAAGTTGAGGGAAGTTGGGTTTATCGTGTACTCAATTGGTAAGCCGCTGGATCCATGGCTCAAGGACATGCCTGCTGTTGCATAAGTCTTGGGGTATTTAAGGCTGCCATTCGATTCTTTAATGTGTTCTCGGAGAATTTCAGGTTCCTCATGCTCGATCGTATAGGCCGAAGACAATCATTTTGATTATAGTGAACTCACCATACATGTAATGCTTTTGCTGCTTTCAATTTGAATAAATGGGAGAAATTTGAAAGAATCAGTCGTCTCTTCTTAGTTCGCTCATTAGCTTTCTCCAATTCTTGACTCGAGCCGGGTGACCATCTCTTCAGAGGAAGCTCGTTCCAAAATTATATTGTTCCCTTGCTTCAAGTCTTAATGGTTAGTTGATAAAATATATTCAAGTTCGATGCGACCCGATATAATAAACTCAGATAAGGCATCGCAAAGTTCTTCAGGGGATCCATTTGTTCATTGTCATAGGCCACACTCGATGCTGAGGAAGGGGTGTGAGAACATTGCAACCACAGGAAATCACACTAACTAAAATTTGGCAGTGAAATTCTTTACTTCATCTCCGGCTACATCTCAAAACATCACAAAGATAATACATTCACCAGGAGCATCCTAGCTCTTATCGCTTGGTCCGTGGTCCAGCAGTCTCGCAATGCTCTTGAAAAGATTTTCAGAGTCTTTGAACACGGGTGGGACATGAACTTGTGATATCATATGAAAAGAATTTAAGCTATTTGTTAGCAGATGTCTTACTACAAAAGATTGCTTGGTCGCAGAAACAATTCCCAGCAATGCCGTTGCTATGCTATACCAAATTCTCAGAAAATTTACAGCTTACAAAATTGCATTAGCCTAATCTAACCCCAAACGGGGATCTGTACAACGGTAATTCTCAGTCAAACACTATACGAACTTCTCATTGTATGCCCAAGGCAGTCAGCAGTGTTGGTAAGCATTGAATTTCCCAGAGATCTTCATACATAGGTGTTTGGGTTTTACAGACCCTGATTTCACAACACTCTTTCACCATAAAGTACTCTTCGCATCGCTGCTTTTATCGTCCACTCATCGCCTTCCAAAACATATTCAGAGTTTCGCATTTCACCAACCCTTGGTGACCAGCTGACAATCCAATCATGCACGTCCCGATCCACGAGGCATTTTCTTTGATCCAGCTGCCACAGAAAAAGAGATCATTGGAATATGTTCACTCCAACAACTGGTCGTAGACCATGCTAGCTTTGTAAATAATCAATGAGTGATAGAGAGAGAATTACAATCATCGACATCTTTGAGCTGGTAATAGTGGGGAGCTATTTCCACCAACCAGTCTGGCTTCAATTCAGTGACCTGCAAGGAAGCCCTTAGTTTCAGCAATTAATTAAAAACAAAAGAACTGGCAAGCAAAGTCCTTGAGCTGCAACTGCGATGAAAAGGCCTAGATGGAGTCCATAGGACTTACTTGTCTCATGTATTCTTTGGTTGTTAGAACCAATTCATGATACACAACCCATCTTGGAAGTGCCTGTAAGAAAGAGCAGTATAAACATGACCAAGGCCAATAACTCCACATGTCTTGCTTTCATTAATATGGAGGGCATTATCATTTGCATATTGAAACACCTCAAATTTTTATTTTCATATGGAAATGTTATGCCACTATTAGTATTATCAGCCTTCAGGTATAGAAAGCAGACGTCGTTTAAAGTCACAAGCAAAATATTACGAGTCAAATAAAATTAAATAATTCACATAAATATACCCTCTAATAAGCATACCTGTGCCAACCCTGAACTTGGATGTATATGAACTGTCTGCGGATGTTTCACTGTCTTATAAGCTCCACTTTTCTGTAGTCTAGCGGAGTGGGGGAAAAACCCTGAACAAAGAACACCAAGATTAGAAGCACAAACAAACACCACAAGAGAAAAATGGTACTGCCACCCTGTCATCGTTAAAAGCATAAGAAAAGTTGTCTTACCAGATGTTATAGCCTTTTTAATTGCCTCTAAATCGTTGATATTAGAAGTAAGTTCAATTTCAACCCTCTCTAAAAGCCCCTCCAACTGGTCTCTGACATCTCTAGCACGCTTCATACTCCTGACCTAAAAGCATTGGTTGGAAAGAAGAACGAAAGCATAAGTGCATATTACTAAACGGCATAAACAGAATACATATTGCATCGTAAATTAGGAAATAGTGTAATTTCAATACAACCAAATTCGCAGGGGGAACAAAGCAAGAAACTTTCTCAATCTCAAAAACAAAGAAAAAGGATAGGAACCTAACAAATAGATTATCAACAGATGAACTTATAAGCAGATTTGACATACTTTATCAAGCAGATAAATATAAACCACATGAGAAAACATAAGAAACAGAGCTCACGCTTTTCAATTCGTCCCCCCCCAAAAAAAAAAAAATGATTTTCGCACTCCAATGTTATGCCAAACATAAGCCTACAAATAAACGGGAGCAATTAAATATTACATCAGATATTCATCTACAGCTTCACCTTTGGATTAATTAGCAGTGTCCCACAAAATTTAAGTCACTTTGAGAGGACAAGGAACATTAGTCCCGGAGAGAGAGAGAGAGAGAGAGAGAGAGAGAGAGAGAGAGAGAGAGAGAGAGAGAGAGAGAGAGTATGAACAAGATGACCAGATGAGTATGAACAAGATGATATTGCAAAACTTGACTTAATTAAAATAAATACATAATTCTGTCAAGTGAGCCTGCCCCCTCAAGATCACTGGATTCATTTCTTCCACATTACAGAATGCCCGCAATTCTTCACTTCTGCTGCTAGTGTTTCAATTAATTTGGCAAATATATGACTGATCATGCCAACATGAGATAACCAAATCCTATCTTCTATTATTGCCCAAAAGAAACATGACTTCAATATCTACTGTGTGTTTATAAGCAAGTAATCTCTTTGCAACAGCATAACTTTCGCATATACAAGTCCTATTTAGACTTAGACATCCAGGAGATACAGTACTTTCCTCAAGACTTAAAGAGTTCAAGTTATGCAATCTGATGGCGCACAACCACTTGACATCCTTATCTAGAAAAGTTTTATTAACCCAAACGATAAAGTCACTTTACCTGTATGTAATTCTCATAGCACCACTGTGTGGAGTAATTAGTCTCTTTCCAAGAATTGTATACCTGAAATGAAATGAGGGTGGTGACTTCTCATTAGTGACAAGCACTACTAGTTTGAATCATGCAACGTCACCAACAGAGAAATGCACAGAAACATAAACAATATATATAATAGCAATCACCTTTCTAGTCTAATTATTCGAGTTTTTAGGAAGATTTTACTCAAAAGTGCTGCAATATACAGGTAAACACAAATGATGTACCTCCATAGTCCCAAGAGAACCATACTCGCTGATGGATACATTCGGTATTCATAATTGAGTAGAATAGCCGACTATGGGCATGAGATAACGTTTACCGTTACGCATTGTGGAAACTACTATCAGATAATCAAAAAGCTGTCCATCGATTCCAGAACACAAAGATTATCCACCAACCTTAAGAAATGCTTTACAACAACAACAAAAACCAACCTTAAGCAGAGCTATGTGGTCTCCCACATTTCCAGTGTGGAAATTCATCCGTGCATTATCGGCATGGACTTGCTTGTCTTTAGGACGATAAAATATTGAATTTCCAACAGAAAGCATAGCAGCAATGGAGATTATCTCATCCGAGCACTTGTACTTATCTGATGCAACTATCATTTTAGATAGCATGGGGTCAAGTGGAAACTCAGCCATTTGTCGACCTGCCTTTGTCATCTCGCCTAGCTTATTCAATGCACCAAGCGCAAAAAGAAGTTCTAAGGCTTTGAGTAATGATTCAGCCGGCGGTCGATCCATAAAATCAAAATTTATTAGATCGCTAATGCCAAGGCTTTTTAGTGTCAAGACAACGTTAGCAAGGTTGGTCCGTTGAATCTCTGGTACAGTATTATCTTCTAGATCAGTTTGATAATTGTGTAATGTGTACAACCGGAAACACATTCCTGGACCAGTTCTTCCGGCGCGGCCAGCTCTTTGCATTGCTGAAGCTTTCGAGATTGGAGTAACTAGTAGTGATTCCATTCCCGTCCTTGGGTTGTATGATTTCATCTTGCAAAAACCTGGATCGATCACATAGCTTATTCCGTCAATTGTTAATGATGTCTCGGCAATATTTGTTGCAAGGACCACCTTACGAGCACCTTCTGGTGTGGGTTCAAATATTTTTGCCTGAAGATCTGTAGGCAAATTAGCATATATCGGACATATAATGAGTTCAGCAATTTTGGTGCCAAAACCCCTTATCCTATGCTTCAAAAGCTCTTCCGCTGCTTCAATTTCCTCTTGACCGGTTAAAAAAATCAAAATATCGCCACGTGGTTGCTGTACATGTATTTGAAGAGCAGTAACAATAGCTGCATCCAAGTAATCTGCTTCAGGTGCACTGGTGTGAAGAATTTCAACTGGATACCGCCTTCCTGGAAATCTAAATATTGGGGCGGAGTCAAAAAAATCACTGAACTTCTCCGCATCTAGTGTGGCACTTGAAATAAGCAACTTGATATCAGGCCTAAAGCGAGTAATATCCTATAAGATGACAACCATAGAAGTCAGAAACCGATAAAGGGTAACAAAAACCTACATTTATTTCTCAAAAGCAGAAGTGTGTCCTATAAATAAAGCTGAAGTGAATCTTTGTCTGGTGGGAAAAGTCTACATTTTAGTCATACAATGATCCTTTGATCACGACTCAATGATATAGCCTAATCTGCCAATTCGAAAATTAATTCAGTGGAAGATAGCTTACCTTTACTAATCCAAAAAGAATATCTGTGGAAAGCGTTCTTTCATGGGCTTCATCAACCATCACCACACTGAAAGATGACATCTTAGAATTGCATCAAATCTAGAAATCATAATAGAAGAAAACTATTCAAACATACCTATAGCTAGCAAGATCCGGTTCACCCAGGAACTCACGCAACAACATTCCATCTGTCATGTACTTCAATACTGTCTTCTCTGAGGTGCAGTCTTCAAAACGAATAGAATAGCCAACCTGTCAATTGCATGGAAAATTAATAGATAGATTTATGACACGACTTTCACTCAGAAAGGAACTTCAAAGACTGAGATTTCCAAAGCAAGTAGCTTTCTTTCCTGACGAGTAGCTAAGTCATTAAAGAACATCGAGCAGGTGTATTCC